TCTAAGTGATGATACAGGCAGAAGACACTTACAGAAGACACTTTACAGCCACAACAAACGGCACTAATGAGCTGAATGCTCAAATTTAGGTATCTTGTTTGTTTTTGGATGCTCTGCTATATTTAGGGTAGTTTTCCCTAACAGAAACAACCATAATTTATTATATGGGAAAGGGAGGGGGGAATAAACAGCAAAAATGGGGAAAATGGTTTTCCTCCTTCAACTCCCCCGCCCCCAAATAAAATGGACTATCCTCTGTCTAGGTCCCTTCTGGAGTCCGCCCAGATCATGGAACACTACCAAGTTTATTAAACTGCTTTTTTGCGGGACATCCTGCAGCCCATTTTGCTATAGTTTTTCAATGAATCAAGTCTCAACCAATTCAACATAGTTTATAGCAGTCAAAAAAACAAAATTTCTGGAGTATAACAACTAACAACTTTCAAAGTGAGTAGCAAACAATTAAACAGAAAATCACACTTTCAAACCAGGAACAGATTTTTTTTTTAAAAAAATTGTTACATAGTGTTATGTAAAGAAAAAAAATCAAGCTCAAGATCAAGCCACAGTCTTAGAGTAAACCAACTAAAGCCGACAAAACAGCCCAACAGGGGAAAAAAATCTTGCTATCTTTGTTTTTAGGCCTATTCCTCAGGTTATTTGGGAGACTGATTCAGAAAATCCTAGACTTCATCCAGTCTAGTTTTTCAGATATTATCATGATTTTCTATAGGTTAGGAGATGGCAACTGGTAGATGGCATATGTTCTGTATCTCACAAACTACCACTGATAGAGGGAAACTGATGCCGTTTTGGAATCAGCAAGTCAACTATACTCACAACAAGGCTAATATTTGAGGCACCAAATGTGTGTAGCCAGTGCTGTCAGAGGTCCCACTGATTTCAGAGGATAGACTCTTAAAGCATGACCATGCCTGGATCCTGTTATAAATTTTTAAACCTTAATGGTTCCAACGTTCAGAATAAAGCTAGCAGAAATACATGTTCTTGGATGCTTTAAGTAGTACTGTTTTCTTATTAATTGCTGACAAGTTGACCTAGAAGTTAATCGAGTCACCGTGAGTCAACAGGCCACTTGAAGACACATACACATAAGCGAATGAGAAACTTCCAAGTCATCCTATCTTCCAACAGCTTCTAATCAGGTCTTGCAGGCTCAGGGCGGTTCCAGACAGCCCTCTATCCCAAAAGCATCCACGTTTAAAAAAACACGGATGTTTTTGGGGGGCTGTTTGCACCCACTCCAGAAAGTGCATGCTTTCTGGGCTAGGTTGTCCACATGTTACCTTGGGATTTAGCCCGAGATAACATGTGGAGGCCCTACCCCTTCTTCCGCAAGCCCCCAGACCCTTTAGAAAACTGAAAAAAGTTAACCAGGGATGCAGTTTCCCACGGGGCTGCAGTTTCCCCCCTAACCCTACCCCCTCCCTGCTCTCCTGGCATGTCATTTGTATGTGCCGGGAGAGCTACTGCGGGGGGGGGGGGGGGGGGGGACTGCAGCCCTGGTAAGCTTTTTTAAAAACTTTTCTAAAGAGTCTGGGGGCTTGGAGGGGTGGGTATTCCCACAGTTTACTGGGCTTATTTAGCCCAGTGAACAGTGAAAATGGTGTCTGGACTGTAGTGCATTTATCCTGCGCCTTTCAAGAAGGTGCGGAATAAATGCAATATCAAATTAAATTCGCTACAAACCAGGGTTTTCCAGGGTTTCCCAGGGTTTCCCATTGTCAGCTCCAGTTTCTGCCCACCTAGCAGTTTGAAAACATGCAAATATGAGATCAATAGGTAATGCTCCTGTGGGAAGGTAACAGTGATCCATGCAGTCATTCCAGTCACATGACCTTGGAGGCATCTATGGGCAACTCCAGCTCTTCGGCTTAGAAATGGAGATGAGCAGCACGCCTCAGAGTCGGACTCAACTAGACTTAATGTCAAGGGGAAACCTTTACCTTTACTTATTTTTATTTTGAAATTTACCATTAGCTGGTGCATTTCCCACCCTCAGCTTGCACTCAAGTCAATAAGTTTTCCCAGTTTTCTGTGATAAAATTAGGTGCCTCGGCTTATATTCAGGTTGGCTTATACTGGTATTTGTCTTTGTAGTAGTCCATGCTATTCCTAGAACTCTTCTTCTCTAGCACATTTCAAATGAGTTGATTTTCTTCACTACTGTTTGCCATTCCACATTTCCTGAGTCATTATGATGAATGTGTTACACTGATGATTCATGCATTCTTCAGTTTCACGTTTCTCTTGCAATAACATAATTATAGTTCACATATCCAATATACTGCATGCATGTGAATGTGGGTGTAATTTTTTGTTCATCAGTCACTTAAGAAAACTTTTTTTCCTCAATAAGTCATTGAGCTATTCTGAATAAAATACATTATTTGATGCAGGTGCAGGCATCTTTTTCAATCTATAAGATTTCACAAAAATAACATCACATAAAAGCTAAATTTATGTGGCCATTCAAAGCAGCTTAGGAACACTGAATATTTTATAAGGAAATAGATTTTCGACATTTAAACACTGAATGGGTTTCAAACTTCTCAAATATTTTTTGCCTGATTTTGCCAGATGTGTTCTTTTTCAACATCTGTAGATGCTTCAGATGTGTATTCATAAATAAATAAAGGGATTCAGTTAGGCATTTAAAAAAATATCTGCCTCCCCACATATGCTCTAGCTGAAATAAAACTCAATTTTCCATGTATACCTTCTTTCCTAAAAAGGAAACATTTACAACGTGAATGTGGCCCCCTGGTGGCGCAGTTAGTAAACCGCTGAGCTGCAGAACTTGCTGACCGAAAGGTTGGCGGTTTGAATCCAGGGAGTGGGGTGAGCTCCCACTGTTAGATCCAGCTTCTGCCAACCTAGCAGATCGAAAACAAATGTGAGTTGATCAATAGATACTGCTTCTGTGGGAAGGTAATGGCACTCCATGTAGTCATGCTGGGCACATGACCTTGGAGGCGTCTTCAGCTTAGAAATTAAGATGTGTTGATTTACCAAAGTTATGTATTCACCTGCCAAGTTCAGGTGCTCACACTCTGGAAACCAAAGGACTAAATTCCTTGATTTCTTTCCCCTGCAGAACTCCAGAACTGCACTGATTGACAGAAAGTGACATGTATTGCTTCTAGGAAATTCTCAAGTTGTTTGTTGGGAGCCATTTCAGGATAGTATATCCCTCAAAACATGATGAAATCACGCCACTAAAGAGACTTTCACATTTTACCTATGGAAGCAGTACCAAGGACCTCTAGGTGGGGGCAGTGATGATACCAAGGGCCCTTCAAAGGGCTGTGTGTGGCCTGTAGCCAGCAATTTTCACACTCCTCCTAAGTTTAATCAGGCATGGGCAAACTTTGGCCCTCCAGGTGTTTTGGACTTCAACTCCCACAATTCCTAACAGCCGGTAGACTGTTAGGAATTGTGGGAGTTGAAGTCCAAAACACCTGGAGGGCCAAAGTTTGTCCATGGCTGGTCTAAATACACAAGACTGCTTCAGAAAATATTTTCCTTATCCAACCTTTACAGCATAACAGTAATTTGCTGACAGTATTTTTGTTTGTGTTTTTTTCCCAGGCAGAAAACCTACTACAACACTTGCAGGAAAATTTTCAAGCATTGATTGACAAGACCAAATTAAGAAATATCCTTTAATGTTTTTTTGCTCAAAAATCACAAAACTTTCAGCATTAACTATATTTAGAAATAGTTTCAAATGAATGGCTTAATTTATAATTCAATAATTTGCAAAATTTGTTTAGTTGTAATTCTGAGTAATTTTGCTAAGTGTAGTAGTTGAAGTTGATTAAAATGTGTGTGTATTTGTTCCTTCGAGTACACACTTATGGTGACCCCAGGAATTTGATATGGTTTGCATACACAAGGAATACTCAAAGGTGGTCTTCCAGTTCCTTCCCCTGAAATATCACCTACAGCATCTGGTATTGGTTGATGGCCAACCATTCAGGTACTAACTACTGCTGCCCTGCTTCGGTTCAAAAATCAGACAGGATATGGTACCTTTGGGGTGTTTAGGCCTTAGTATTGACAAAGATAAACAACTAAATGCATGGCAAAAATATTGATGGCAAACTTTAAGAAAGCCTTACATAATACAAGATGTATCCCAGCAGGACTGCTATTTGTAACACTTATTTCAGTGTCCCGCCATTGCCAAAATCCAGCTACTGCTAGACACCCATTAAGACTGACATAAGTCATGACTTGCCATTCCACAATTCATTGTGATTTTACTCCAATTTGGACTAGCATTTGGATATAGAAGGATGAATTAACTGCATCCAGAGTGAGGGAGTAGGGTTCAATGATCCATAATCTTTTAAAGAGACGTTCAATAGGACACCTATGTCTACTCAGAAGCCCCACCAAATGCAATGTGACTTACTCCATTATGATGTATATACGATTTCATCTTAAATCATATCAAATTGTAGCGTTGTGGTCATGGTGTCATAATGTACCCTAGAAACTTGTCCTGAACACATGTGAAAGCCCTATCAGAGCAGATTTTGGAACAGTCCTGAAGACTGCAGGAGAAAAGAGAGGAAAAGTTCTGTTAGGATTAATTTCAGTCTTAATTTAGCTTTTTTAGAAGTCTAACAGTCTTACTGCAATTAGATTTATATTAGTTTTGACTTTAGTATACAGTGGTTAAGGGCATTATATGCACATAAACAGGAATAAACTAAATTACACTGTTGTCTTTTAGTATATTTTAGCTAGTACTAAAAGTAGTTGCAAATTAAACCCAGTCATGATACAAACATTTAATTCCCAGTGATACACTATTTGGTGTCTATAATGGAAAGGGAATAATGTATGAGTGGTAAAAGAATAAGCTTTTCAAATAAGCCAGTATAGTCCTTTTCTCAGTATTCATCAAACATGAATAGTTTGTCTTTCAATTTCAAGTTACTTTGAATATTAGACAATGGTCTCTCTTTCCATGGCCATATTATTTTGAGAATCATATAAACCCAGAAGACAAAAATGCAATGCTCTTTAACATTTTTACTGGATGAAATGGGTGAACGCATAGATGATTTAGAAGAGCACGTTACTGGACTGATGACACAAGCGGGAATAGAAAATGCTGGTGAAGAAATAATGGTAAGATTCGGGCTCTATTAAATAATAAATAATGTTAATAGCTGTCTGCTGGCAAGAGCACTAGTTAAAAGAAAACAATTTACTTGCCCTCCAATTGTAGAAGAGGGGCTTCTCAGGAGAGGCAGCTTAGTTTGGGTTTGGGGAAGGAAAAGTTGGCAGTGTGTTGAATGTTGGTTAATTGTACAATTGTAGCAGGAGAGGCATGCCCATTTGTGCACACAGATGGAGTAATGTAGAGAGATTAGAGGACTGAACATGCAAAATAAGTTGCAGAATGGTATAACACAGTTAGCCTGAACTGCATACACTGTACGCTAATCAGACAGTCCCTTCTGTGTTCAGTTAGTCTCCAAGTTACAAAAATCCAACCTACAAATGACTCATAGTTAAGAATGGGTGTGTGATAACAGGAAGTGAAAGAAATCTACTCCTTGGAAGGAAAATTCATTCCTGGAAGAGTGATCATGGGGAAAAAGTGTCTCCACTGAAGCTTTTTCACCAATCTGTTTCCACAGCAAGCCATATTTCAAAATCCAATGATCGCAGGGACAGAAAGTGAGGTGAAATCAATCTATCTATCTACCTATCTATTTATCTATATGGGTCAACACCCCTGTAGTGTTTGTTTTTCTCTCTGTGCCTGTACAGATTTCACCACACTTTCTGTCCCTGTGATCACTGGATTTTGAAAAAAAATTGTTGTGGAAACAAGGATTGGTGATAAAGCTTCAGGGTATGTGTGTTTGTATGTATATGTGTGTGTGTATGTGTGGCTGGAGTTATGAGTCCCCTGAGGGGAAGAAAGGTGGGGTATAAATGGATTAGATAAATATTTAAAAACGTACCTGTTCTGTCTTACATACAAGATTCAGTTTAAAAACAAACCTACAGGACCTCTCTTGTTCGTAACTTGGAGACTGCCTGTATGTGTTTCCTCTATGTGCTCTTCCACTATTGAAATATTATTTTAGCTATAGTTTTAAAAGCACCCATTTATTAAATTTAAGCATTTTCATTAAATTAGAAGAAAATGGTGTCTACAACTATTTTCTTCAGATGCCACAATCTTAATCCAATCCCTGTGCAAATTTCTATTCCTACAGCACTGAAGATGAAGTTATCAGGATGATAAAAGAAGTACTCAGAAACAGAGACCTTGAGAGCGAGCTACAATTCTACAACATAGGCTGTTCATACTAGTCTGCGACTGATGAACTGACAAATTCGGCCTACTAGGACATCAGTGGCTATAGTAATATGAAACACAAAATATCTAGCTTTTATTACTGTTACAATAAAAGTTTTAAATATTTTTATAAGATTATCTTTGAAACCTGATAGTACTGATCTCGTGATGATTTATATATTTATAATAAAAGCAAACATATAAGCTTTTTTCATGTATTGCTTTGTCCAGATTCCCCACTCCTTCATCATGCATTAAAAAATGTTATGCACATCAACTGGGAAGAGAGTATTCTAAAAACTACCTTTGCAAGAAAGGATTTACACTGTCTGGCCAATCTCCCCATAATGTGTGTTCTGACCTCTAACCAGTGTATCCCGGTGAATCAGGTCATTGCAGCAGCCAAGATCATTGCAGCAGCCAACCAGAACATAATGTGTATTATGGTTCAGGGTATGAACTGGATACCTGAATGAAGCCACAGAAGATGTTTAAAAGACCACTTTTATTTGTATGTATTTAATTTATTTATGAAAAGAAATATTTTATACAACATTTGGTGATGTTCCTGTTAAGGATACTGGAATAAACATAGGAATAAAATAATACTGTATTTTGTAGCCTGAGATGTATATTTCACTTTAATCCAAACTATGAAAACACACAGTAGGAAGTAAGCAAAATATTTTTTTTTTCTGGAACCAAATTTTGAGAATGTTCCAACAATTTTGATAATAAACTTTTAAATCAAATCTGCTTTCTAAGAAAGCTAGAGTGACCAGATTAAGCACAATTTTATTTCTTTATATTAAATGCCAACTGAACTGCTCTGCATCCTGCTTTTCGCAGGCAGAGTAAACTAATTCATGCAGTTCCAGAAACTGGCTTTAAACAGCAGGCTGGATCCTCATATTCTGCTCAAAATCTCAATGGTCTTCTTCTATTCTGGCTAAACAGTCCAGAAGTATCTCTTCTATTTCAGCTGGTTTAGACCAATTTATTTATAAAGAGCAGAACTATTTTATAAAAATAGTAAACATGAAGACCATTTTAATGTTTAAAAGGAAAAACAATAAGATACAACTTTATTTCTAAAATCCAGTATCTATTAGCATTTCCTCCATAACTTAGGTAATATATTTGCATAAATTCAAAATATTTTGAAAACCAGATGTAAGCAAAAAAACTGTACAAAGTTTCACTGATGACATTTCTGCAAAAATATTTTAAGAAAACAGCTTAAATATTAGTATCTGTATTTGGTTGAGTAGTCTTTGGGTGACACAACAAGACCTCGGCCTTTACGTGCTCCTCTATAAACGGTTTCGATTATATCAATCATTTCTTGCTTGTCTTCCATCGCCCAGTTAATTTTATTGTTGTTCCCTGTACCTAAATCAATCATTATGTGCTTGTTCCTTTAAGAAAGAGGGAGAAATGGGAAGAGTTGCATCAATATTCATACACCATACTCAAACAGAAATGTTACAACAGGGTGAACTTATACACAGGCTGCGTTGTTTATTTAATTATACTATGTAACACAATTTTTGTTCCTGGATTGTAAATGTCATTTCCTAATTGGTTCTATCATAAAAACATAGCAAATATTTATTAAATTGCAGAAACATTGTTTTTGTGGGACATCCCACAGCACATTTTGCTACAATTTTTCAATGAATATCTCATCGAGTCTCAACCAATTCAACACAGTTTGTGGCAGCCACAAAAACGAAGTTAAACAGTAATAACACTTTCAAACCAGGAACCAAAAAAAATTCAGACATTGTTATAGAACTGTGCGGATCTGAAGTTAAAACACAGTTAAAATATGGTGATGGAGATGGTGGCATGCTTTATTCCGGTTCCCAGGCAGCACAATAGTCTATAATGCTGCTCCAGAAGTATTGTTGCCATGGGATACATGTCCGCTACTGCCAGCCCACATGACCAGCATGGCCACACAGGAACTGAAGCAGAGAAGTGGGCTGCCACCACCAGAGAAAGAGCCAGAACAGAAGTACGGGTGTGATGCCCTGCCAGTTATGGAGAGAGCTATGCCCTCAAACCCAGAAACAGGTGAGATGAGAGCTGATCTGATGGCAAAGGGTGATCCTCCACTTGCTCACTCATGAATAAACCACCTTCCCCTGACCCTGAGCAACTCAGAAAGAAACAGCCAAGGGTAGTTTGTTGGCTGAGGCAGTGCTGGTATTTTCCCATGGAATAACACTAATATTGTCTGTCAGGAAAGCCAGACAGTTTCAGAAGGCCTTTCCACACAGCCAGAATATCAAGGCAGAATAACCCACAATATCTGCTTTGAACTGGAATATCTGAGTCCACACTGCCATATATTGCAATTCAAAGCAGATGATGTGAGATTTTATTCAGCGGTGCGGAAGGAGCCAAAGTCAGCACTAGAAGTTATAAAATCACTCACCCTAGAATGGCTACTACAGCTCAGCTTACACTACATGCTATGAGTGAACAAACAAGATACAACAGTTTTAAGAAAGACCCATATTACCAGAGAATGTATGTGTTAAATATATGAATGGAATGTACCTGAAAAAGAACATGACGGTGCAGGGATCATACAACTCATACATCTTGTTGAAGTCTGGCACTTCTGTGATATCCACAAGATAAATAACAGCAAAATTTTTCACCTATGGAATGAAAATTGTGCTTAGAACATACTATATTCATAAGCAAAATTATTGCCACAATCCTGTAAAGTTAAATGGAACACCCACAGGGTTTAAATTTATAAAAGACAAACTAATTATATATTGTCATACTAATTAAGGAATAATAGAGCATGTGCAAGATACCTGAAAGATTTACTGAGAATTTGGTTATATTCAACGTCCCAGAAGAATAACAACAAACTTCCCAATTAGCTATTACTCTTTTGCAAGTTTTCTTAGGCGCCTCCTGGATGCGACAATTGTACCAAATAAACTTCACCATATTTTCATGTCATAACACATCCTACCATTGCAAAATGTTTCAGAATAGAAAGATTCCACTCATTTTAAAGTATTTGTCAAAACGTCACCATTTAGAATATATGCTAGCATTTGACAATTATAAATATATTTCCAGCTTCCAAAAGAAAAAAACATTTCCAACTAAATAGTCATCCAATTTCCTTCTCCATACCACATAATAACATTGCCCAATTCTACAACACCATATTTGTCAGCAATGCATATTCTTAACTTAGAGGTTATGATACATTCTGCGAGGTTTGTTTATAACATATCTGTGCAATGTAATAAGTCATCAATACAAGAGCTAATTTTTGGATTAGATCTCCCAGTCATGTGGGAGCTAGTGGGAGATTCTGGGGATAACAATCCAAAATAATAATTTCTACGGATTTTAAACAATCTTCATCACTGCAAGAGTAGGCTTTATTTTTAAGATACATACATTTCTGCAATTGTTCAACCTGACATGTAGGAAGCTTGTAGGAGGAAGGAAAGCAAAATGAACTACGGTATTAGGTCTGTTTATACTTTATTTACAAACACTTTGTTAGCCTAAGTATACTCCTGTCCACAACACTAATATCTTGTAAAATCTTTTATAATTGTTACCTTTCTAAAGTACTCTCAGGAAATAATTAACTTAACATAAACACTACATTAACTAAACCATACTAGAAATGTATAAACATTAACTCAGACAGGCTCATTCCAAGATCTAGCAGGGTCTTCCCACTGGAGGAAAAGGATGGAGGTCCAACTGTATTTTCTCTTTGTAGGCTTTGGTACTATCTCAGGCATTATTTGGGAGCATCTCCCAAACCTCTTTAACAGAAAGGAGGAATTAACAAAAACTTCTCATCTGACCCCTTCCTCTCACACTAATGGAACTTCTCTGATTCCAAGTCTTATTTAAACCCATACCCCTTAATACCATAAGCAGATATCAACATTGTGACTTTTATAAGTACAGTTTTTCAATTCCATGTACTCGTATTAATTGATAAGACATGGTAACACAACTTTAAACTGGAGGGAAAATACTAGAGAGCTAAGATTTCTCTCTCATACAGTTGAGGACATGAGAGAAAATTAATCATGCCCATAACTTGGGAAAGAACGGATATTCAGAGCAGAACAGAAGAAACACAAACAGTGAAGGAAGGTGCTGCACATATGGGGAAAGATTGTCCAGTATAGAAATAGGCAAACTTAATGCTTGGTAAACATTCTCTCAATGTAGCATGCAAGTGCAACTGAACAATCGATCCGCATGATGTTTTAGCATAAATATGCAGTACAAATTGGACTGTTTACTCACTCTTTTTTGAACAGCAGTGATATCCGATCAGGACTCGTAAGCAAGAGGATGAGGATGGATCACCCTCTTTAATCTGCTATTTCTGCAGAGGGAGATTTTTAAATACAAAGTTACAGTGATCTTTTTCCTCTGCATGAAAATTGAAAAGCCAGTATGTTGTCCAAGTTATTAGAATTCCTTTACAATCAGCTTATGTTGGTATTCCAAATAATATTAAAGCCCTTTCTTCATTGCTTGGTGATACTGCACTTTTGTAATATTTAAGGTCATCCTCAACACATTAACATAATGTAATACTGAAAAATACTGTATAGTGTAGCTTTCACAAGTTCTTTAATGATAGAGGCTTGAGTTGTATTATATGGGAGGATTTTTTAAAGTCTTGAGATTGTAAAAGGTTAAATGCTTTTACCACTTAGGCAAGTCCCTCTACTTGTGCAAAATTTCTGCCAAAAACAAAGAGTAGCTGTGCAGGAGGGAAAGCATTGTTATCACCTCCTTCTCTCACATCTTCCACCTTTTTCTTCTGGAGAGTTCTCCAGAATAGTTTTTCAGAGAGTTGAAGGGAAAGGAGATATCTCAGAGTGTCTTGTTCCATGTGTGGAATTCCGCTTCTATATCATAATAAATACTGCACTGTATACTACATTGCAATAATTCTTCATTATTAACTATGTTGGCTAAGGCTCACCCCTGAAACAAAACTTTGCTAATTATAAAAGTCCAACTCAGAGTCCCTTCTTTCTGCTATGAAGAAAGATGAGTCAGCCATTCACATGTCACTCCACATGTAGAATTCCTTCCCCTACCCATTTAGCTACTGCCTTCTTCAATAGCATTCACATGCCAGTTGAAATACAGCCCAAACTCCCACATATCCGTAAGCTAGAATGCCAATGAGTTTGAGTTTATCATTTGTGAACTGTACTCCAAAGCACTCTTTTTGACTCCTGGTAAATATTGGAAACAGGGAAGGAAAGTTTACACTACTGACCTATAATGGGACTTCTGTGTAAAAAGCACAATCATAAATTAGTATTTGTTGTTGGCTTACAACTCCTGACTTCAAACATCTTTTTTTCCATGTCAGGAGCGACTTGAGAAACTTCAAGTCACTTCTAGTGTGAGAGAATTGGATGTCTGCAAGGACGTTGCCCAGCTGTGCCAGGATGTTTTACCATTCTGTAGGAGGCTTCTCTCATGTCTCTGCATGAGAAGCTGAAACTAAGAGGTGGAAGCTCACCCACTCCCCGGATTCAAACCACCAACCTTTCGGTTAGCAGTCCTGCCGGCACAAGGGTTTAACCCATTGCGCCACTGGGGGCTCCGTTTCAGACATCACTGCAGGCTTCCTCGTCCTGGTTAGTTTAACTGCTCTTTGACAGGAGGAACCAAACTGGCTGTATAGAGTAGGTCATGAACAACAGTATCCAAATTCTCTGGAATTCTATCTTATCTCTATTTGCAGATATGGCCACTGTTCATTTAATAGCAATTATTAAATGAATTCATTCAAGTTTACAGCTAAATTATGTATTCATAATTGAGCTGTAAACTTTTCAAGCTAACCTAATGTACAACCTTCAGCATACCACAGCAAGCAGAAAGAGAAGCCTATTTGAGCATGCTCTACTCCAGTTCAAGAAACTAATGCCACACACTCCTCTCAAGGATTTACAATACTGGTTTCAAATGATATTCTGAGGACGCTGGGATTTTTGTAAATATATTAAAGGATTCTTAAGGAGAAGAACAAGTTGTTCAGAAAAATAGTCTGCAAACCAAAAGCAAACTTCCTCTATGATACAAAGCTGGAGAAGATGGACTGCATTCCAGCTTGCAAATACAGTTCATGTATGTTACTACTAAAACCCATGGGCTTGCCCTGGCTTTTTTATTAAGCTCTATCCCTAGATAATTCTCCAGAATTTTCTCCAACAGTACAAGCATGCTGACAGACACTGAAAGGAAGCAAGAATGGAAAACACTAAACCATATTTTAAAATATTGACCAGCTAGGCTACAGAAAAAAGACTTGGCAATTATATAAGTACAAAAGCTACTAAAGAAATAATAACATGGTATAGCAGGCCTATCAATAACCAGCCTTGTTTTACCTCATAGCATGACTCTCACTTACTAATTCAACTTATTCATTGCAAACATAAAAGCTCGGTTTATAACTTTACACATAGAACTAAGAAACAATTTAACACTACATCCACAAGCCATACACACATCTAAACAGAAATCATGATTATATGTTCCTTCTTCTTCCTCACTTGCAACGAAGGGAGGATTACCTTTAGAAGTGTTTGTTATCAGAGAACATCACCTTATATTTTATAATTCCATGTGAATGCAGCCTAATCTTACAAGTATACGAAAGCCATACATTCTTTATTCTTGCACAAATCAACACTGTTCTTTAGTGAAGTTATTTATTTATTTATTTTGGGCATTTCTATCCCGTCCTTCTCACCTCCAAAGAGGGACTCAGGACAGCTAACAGCAAGCAGTCATGAGATGCCAACCCCCCCCCCCCCCCCCCCCCCCCCCCAAAAAAAAAAAAACCAATCTAACTACACTTTGGAAAACAAGATGATCAAAAGATATCCGTTTTCTATGAGGGGTGGTTTTACTATAGTAGAATTTTGTTTAATGACTACTTTAGTACCGGATGGTAAATAACAAAATTCATATAATTTGTGATTTTCTGAAAACATCGAGCTAGAAATTACACATACGTATTATTTAGAAATTAACCACTTTTCCTAGTTGCTATGAATAAAACTCAATTGTAGGGGATCATACTAGATCAGGCATGGGGAAACTTCAGCTCTCCAGGTAATAATAATGATAATCATAACAACAACAACACTTTATTTGTATTCCACTCTATCTCCCTAAGGGGACTCAGGGTGGATTCCAGCATATACAAAGACACAAAGAAAAACATTCAATGCCTCGAAACAATGAAACACAGACACATAGAAAAAGGTAAAGGTTTCCCCTTTTCATCTCCAGCTCTGGGGACTGGTGCTCACCCCCATTTCTAAGCCAAAGAGCCTGTGTTGTCCATAAACACCTCCTGGTCATATGGCTGGCATGACTACATGGAGTACTGTTTATCTTCCCACCGAGGTGGTATCTATTGATCTACTCACATTTGCATGTTTTTGAACTGCTAGGTTGATAGGAGCTGGGGCTAACAGGAGGAGCTCACCCTGTCCCATGGATTTGAACCGCCAACCTTCTGATCAGCAAGTTCAGCAGCTCAACGGTTTAACCCGTTGCACCACCACAGCCTTAGGTGTGTTGGACTTCAGCTCCCACAATTCGTAACAGCCGGTAAGAGTTGGGAGTTGAAGTCCAAAATACCTGGAGGGCTAAAGTTTTCCCATGCCTGTACTAGATGGTTAAATCATGGTTTGTATTCTTGGTTTGCACACAAAACATTTGTCTGGCTCAGATACATTGGCCAAGCGATCTGCCAGAAAACTTGGAAGCATTGTATAGATGCTTCTCATTAATTTCTTACCTTTGGAAAAATCAGGAGGGGAAGAAAGCTCACAGTCTCATGGCTTCTGCATACTTGTTCTCGTAATTCCAAACCTTAGCTTCATGTTATATCTATCAGCCCCAAAATTTGCTCCCTTAGTCTTGTGCTCTAATGAAAGCCCACATAGTTTAAACAAAACTCTAATAGAAAACTTGCTAAATTTGACCAAAAGTTTCATTGAATAATTTTTCTATATGTCTAACTTTGAGAAAGTATGGAACTACAGCATGAAGACAGCTCTGAATCAGCTAATCCACAGCAAAGATTATGCAGACGTATAAATTTCATCACTAACAACCTTAAAAATACATCACCAATTAATTTGTCATTTGCTGCTGTGCACCTTCAAGTTGTTTCAGACTCTGATTCGATAGGCTTTCTGGTCTGAGAGCATGTGACCTGCCCAAGGTCACCCAGAAGGTTTCCATGACTAAACAGGGTTTTGAACCCTACTTTCCAGAATCGTATTCTTATGCTCAAACCACTAAACCAATCTGTCTCTCTTGTTTACTCACCTTTTAAAATACCTTCTAAGCCAGTGATCAATAGAGCATGGGATGGTAGTGATTTCCATAAAAAAAGTTCTTCAGTTTCTTACTTCAAAGTATGTGCTGATTTATAATGTATTTCACTCTGCAAATTGCTAATTTTTTTTAGAATATATACTTCTCACCACCCATAGCCAACAATGAAATGTAACTGTATATATTATCCTAGAAAGTTTCTGAGTTGCAACTTTTCCTTAACACATTCTTGCACAAAAAGTACATATTTAAATTATATTTAGGTAGTGCTACTTGCAATGAAAGCATTTTCCCTTATATTTGTATTCTGGATTTAAGCATATATCAATTAGATTTCATGTGTATTATTTCAATGATATCGCACCACTTTGTGTTATACCTTTTCAGCAATGCTATACAAAACTTCATCCATTTTCATACAAGTGGGATCCCAATCATGCCCAAAGCGATTGACAACCACACGATCTTCTTCCGAAAGAATGGCCTGGTCTACTTGCCAGCCATTGTGTAAATGCGGGAGCATATACGACATTTTTAGAACTCAGGTGAGGTCTGTAAAAGGAGAGAAACAGAAGAGAATTTGCTATTACACCATTTCCCTCACGTTGAATGTTACAAAAGAGTTAATATAATGAAGAGAAATGTACTTTATTTTAAGAGATGAATTCCCACAAAGGAAAAGCTTGTATTAGACCCACAATTCATTTTTCAGCCACAATCAACTTCCAAGCCTGTTTGAATTAAGCTTAATCCAACTGAACAATGCCAGTTAGGTATGTTGAGAGGCAGATGATTATCTCTTCTGTCCTCCTCCTTTAAGAGAGATGATTTACTGATGAATTCAGGAACTGTAGGTGCATCTATAATGTATAATGAATGCAGTTTGACATCACTTGGAATTGCCCTGACTAAATGCTATGGAATAAAGTGAGTTGTAGTTTGGTGATGCATCAGTATTCTTTGGAAGAGGCTAAAGGTCTTGTACAACTACGACTCCCAGAATTCCATAGAAATGAACCATGACAATTAAAGCAGTGTTAAATTGCATTCATTCTGCTACAGCAATGCAGCAATGCAGTAGCAATGTCAGCCCTTAGGTGCCCTTCAAACTTTCTTCTTAGGGCCCTTCCACAGTCATATAATCCAGAATATAAAGGTAGAAAATCCCACAAATCTGCTTTGAACTGGGTTATCTGAGTCTACACTGCCATATATCTCAGTTCAAAGCAGAAAATGTGGAATTTTATTCAGCTGTGTGGAAGGGGCCTTAAACTTCATATGAACTAACTTACATAGTGTGCTGCTTTTAAGGAATCAAGCCTGTTCATTAAGTAGTTTTTTTTATCGAGACATGCTACATTTGTCAAAATGCAATGATCACAGGGACAGAAATTGAGGTGAGAACTCCTGAACCGGGGGAGGCGGGGGGGGGGGGGGCAGACAGAAAAACAAACACCACAGGGGTGCTATCCAAAGCTTGCTCATATCTATATAAATAAAAATGTAATGTTCGTTTGTGGGATTAACATAACTCAAAAACCACTGGGCGAATTGTTGCCAAATTTGGCCACAAGACACCTAACCCAAGGAGTGACCATCACTAAAAAAATGATTTTTTTTTTCATTTGGGAGTTGTAGTTGCTGGGATTTATAGTTCGCCTACCATCAAAGAGCATTCCGAACTCCACCAACGATGGAATTGAACCAAACTTAGCACACAGGACTTAAAAGATCAACAGAAAACAGTAGAAGGGTTTGGTGGGAATTGACCTTGAGTTTTGGAGTTATATTTTACCTGGGGTGAATTGACCTTGAGTTTTGGAGTTGAGTTGTTAGTTCACCTACATCCAGAGGGCACTGTGGACTCAAACAATGATGGATCTGGACCAAACTTGCCACATACTCAATATGCACAAATATGAACACAGATGGAAGTTTGGGGAAATAGACCTTGACATTTGGGAGTTGTAGTTGCTGGGATTTATAGTTCACTTACAATCAGAGCATTCTGAACCCCACCAACGATAAAATTGAACCAAACTTTCCACACAGAACCCCCAGAAAACTTTTTTTCTGATAGTTTTGGTGACCCCTCTGACACCCCCTCATGACCCACCCCAGGGGTCCCAACCCCCAGGTTGAGAAATGCTGCTTTAAGGCCATCAAATCCAACTCACTTCACCAGGGCAAGAAAACATAAAGCCCTCCTGACAAAGAGCCATCCAGCAATAGATATAGATAGATATGATTCACACATACACACACACACATGTATATGACAAATATAGATTCATAGATATAAAAGGGAACCCTAAAGAAGGACAATTACATGTTGCATGTTCCAGAGTAGGCAAACCAGACAATATCTACATCAGTGGTTCTCAACCTGGGGTCCCCAGATGTTTTTGGTCTTCAACTCCCAGAAATCCTAACAGCTGATAAACTGGCTGGGATTTCTGGGAGTTGTAGGCCAAAAACATCTGGGGACCCAGGTTGAGAACCACTGCTCTACATCAACACTAAGAAACAAGAAGAAATACTGTTTACCCTCAAGCATAAAGAAATTACATATATTAGAAACCAATACTTTCTCGTTACTTTATTTTCCAGATCACCAAGACTGGGCCACAGCAACGCGTGGCATGGATGGCTAGTATATATATATATATATAGAGAGAGAGAGAGAGAGAGAGAGAGAGAGAAAGCGAGTTACACTTCAAAAATGTACCTGTTTCAAAATTCTGAAATACAAATTCAATTTAAGAACAAACCTACAGAACCTATCTTGTTCATTTGGTGACAGCCTGTACAGCACCTGGTTTCTTTTTTCTAAAAAATACTATTTTATTTCTTGGCCCATAAACCTAACTATTTGTTCAAAAGGAAGAATTAGTCATTTGTGGTTCATTTTCTAATTTGTGGTTGAAATGTGGCTGCCTTTAGCCCCCTTCACTAACCTATGGTAGAACAAAAACATCAGGGGAGCCCAACTGACCCATCCTTAACTAGTTTCCCCTTGTTTTGTTTTATTTTTGAAGTACGTTATTATCCTTAAAGGAAACATAATGTTAGGAAAACAAGGTGTCATGGTCAACAAACAATGTTGCCAAAAATGAAACCAACCATTCAGTGGTGAAGCTTAATTTTTTAAAACAAAAAAACAAAAAACAAAAACAAAAACAAACAGTGAGCACCATGTGTCTCCATGTCTGGCTGCAACTTGGAAAGAGCAATCAATAACACTATGTAACGAAATTTGAAAAATGTTCTGTTCCTAGTTTGCGAAAGTGCAATTTCCTGTTTAATTGTGCGGTACTTGCTTTGAAAGTAGTTGTTCCATTCCAGAACCTTCGCTTTTGTGGCTGCTGCAAACTTTTTTAAATTAATGTATTGTCGAAGGCTTTCATGGCTGGAATCACTGGGTTGTTGTAGGTTTTTTCGGGCTATATGGCCATGTTCTAGAGGCATTTCTCCTGACGTTTCGCCTGCATCTATGGCAATCTTCCTCAGAGGTAGTGAAGTCTGTTGGAACTAGGGATAAAGGGTTTATATATCTGTGGAATGACCAGGGTGGGACAAAGGACTCTTGTCTGCTGGAGCTAGGTGTGAATGTTTCAATTGACCACCTTGATTAGCATTTGATTGCCTGGCAGCGCCTGGAGCAATCTTTTGTTGAGAGGTGATTAGATGTCCTTGTTTGTTTCCTCTCTGTTGTTGTGCAGTTCTAATGTTAATTTAAATATTTTAAATTATAGCATTTTAGACCACTATTTTAAGGGGCTGAGGGGGAAAAGGAAAGGGCCTTTTCCCTTGAAGTCCAAAAGTCCAAAACACCTGGAGGGAGGCCCCAGGTTTGCCCATGGCTAGTGTACACGCTCTCACAGTAAAGCCAGGAACACAGCCAATGGCGTCGAGGAATACCAAGCACGTGACCCCAAGAGGCTGAAGGTCCTGACCAGTCCCTCAATCGCAGTCCAAATAGCACGGGGCGCAGTAGGCCCAACATCCGGGCCTCGTCAGCAATCCTCTTCCAACTCACCCAAAAGCAGAGAAGGTTTCGACGGATCTTCCCCACCGTCGCGACTACACGCACACCTCTCCAACCGAGGCGCAGGCCGGCTCCCTCTAATCTAAAGTGACGTCGGGGTTACGTCACCAAAGGAAGTTTCCGGAAGCCCTTCTCCGATTCGCCCATTTCCGGTTAAACTCAGAGCGCGCGGTGGGCGGGGCTAAGAAGACTTTGCGCCTTCAGATTCCTTTGGACTTTGCTTCCCAGAATTCCTGAGTGTTGGCCACGCTGGCTGAGGCTTCTGGGAGTTGAAGTCCAAAACCCCTGGAGCAGCCAAGATCGGGAAGCGGGGCAAGGTCTTGAAGATCTGTAGCAGGAAGCGGGGCAAGTACATGCCAGGAAGAGTGGGGAGACTTACCCTGCCTGATAAAGGAATGTTACGTTGAGAAAGTCACCCGAGTCTGTGATGTGAGAAAGAGATAGGAGAGGCTCAAATGGACCTATTGCATTGCACTGTTGTCGCGCTGTTGTTCCGCTTTAACTGCCATGGTATGGAATAATGGGAATTGTAGTTTGATGAGGCCCTCTTGAACACAGAAGGCTAAAGAGAAGGCAAAGCTACAATATAAATAAAGTGTTATTGTTATTATTATTAATTCTCATGATTTCATGGTAGCACTGAGCCATGGTGGTTAAAGTGTTATCAAACTGCATTAACTCTGCAGTGTAGACAGACACTTAAGTAAATCCATTCGTTTTCCCCTCATATGCCCTTGATGGCAATAGTCTGTGCTAATGGCTCTCGTCATAACATATTTGTGGAAATAACAAAATAAGCATAGGGTTGCTGTGAGTTTTCCAGGCTGTATGGCCATAATCCAGAGGCATTCTCTCCTGACGTTTCTCCCATATCTGTAGCAGACATCCTCAGAGATTGTGAGGTATATTGGAAACTAAGCAAGGGAGGTTTATATATCTGTGGAATGGCCCTGGTGGGAGAAAGAACTCTTCTCTGAGGCAATTAGAATCATAAAATCAAAGAGTTGGAAGAGACCTCATGGGCCATCCAGTCCAACCCCCTGCCAAGAGGCAGGAATATTGCATTCAAATCACCCCTGACAGATGGCCATCCAGCCTCTGTTTAAAAGCTTCCAAAGAAGGAGCCTCCACCACACTCCGGGGCAGAGAGTTCCACTGCTGAACGGCGCTCACAGTCAGGAAGTTCATCCTCGTGTTCAGATGGAATCTCCTTTCTTGTAGTTTGAAGCCATTTTTCCGCGTCCTAGTCTCCAGGGAAGCAGAAAACAAGCTTGCTCCCTCCTCCCTGCGGCTTCCTCTCACATATTTATACATGGCTATCATATCTCCTCTCAGCCTTCTCTTCTTCAAGCTAAACATGCCCAGCTCCTTAAGCCGCTCCTCATAGGGCTTGTTCTCCAGACCCTTGATCATTTTAGTCACCCTCCTCTGGACACATTCCAGCTTGTCAATATCTCTCTTGAGTTTTGGTGCCCAGAATTTGACACAATTAATCACCTTAATAGCATTTCAAAGCTTCAAGGCCTGTCTGCTTCCTGTCTGGGGGAATCCTTTTGTTGGGAGGTGTTAGCTGGCCTTGTTTGTTTCATGTCTGGAATTCCCCTGTTTTCAGAGTGTTGTTCTTTATTTACTGTCCTAAATATACATAGTTGTGTTGTATGTATGTCTCAATAAGGACCCTGTGAACCTTTGTATGTGTCTCTCCTGAAACTTCTCAGTACAAAGAACCCTATGTAAAACAATTTTTGTTCCTGGGTTATAAATGCCATTTTCTAATTGATTATATTATTTTAAAAAAAAACATGGAAAAGTTTATTAAACTGCAAAAACTTTGTCTTTGCAGGATATCCTGCAGCACATTTTGCTCTAGTTTTCCAATGCATAATAGTAATAATAATAATAATAATAATACACTTTATTTGTATTCCATCCTTCTCCCCTAGGGGACTCAGAGAGGATTACAGCATTTCAGGCAAACATACAATGCCTTTAAAATCAAATACAATGAGACACACAAACACAAACAAAGGCAGAGACTTCTCCTTTCATTTTTCTGGTTTCAGAAGGCAGTGCTCAACTCTGGAGAGGTGCTTTTCTCCATTTTCAGGCCGAGGAGCATGCGTTGTCACCTCCTGGTTGTGTAGTCAGCAAGATTTCTTCGAGAGTCTCTTTGCTTTTTCCCACCGAAGCAGTCCCTATTTACTCAAATTTCCATGTTTTCGAACTGCTAGGTTTGCAGGAGCCAGAGCTGACAAACAGAGAGCTCAGAGCACAATGGGTTTAACCCATTGTGCCACCATGGCTCCTTGAATATCTCAAGTCTCAACCAATTCAACACAGCTTGTGGCAGCCACAAAAACAAAGTTACTAGAGTATAACTACTTTCAAAGAAAGCACCACATAATTAAACTGGAAATAACACTTTCAGACCAGGAAGAGAACATTTTTTCTAATTTTGTTACATAGTGTTATTGCAAGTGAACTCTTCTGCTTTGCTAGAACTGGTAAGTTATCTGTAAAACAATGTGTTGGTAAATATATATGTGAAACATGGTTTGTTTGTTTGTACCTTAAAGGCTCTTACATGGCTTGATGGATCAGGACCAGACTTGGTAGTAACATTATTCAACATAAAATATTAAAGGGATTTGAACTAAAAAACAAAAAACCACCTCTACCAATTTTTGCGATGTACTCTTTTTCAAAACAACCTACATTGGCAGCCCATGAACCTGATGCTGTAATGCTCAGATGCAGCCACAAGGGGATGGTACATTGATGGAAAAGATACTTCAGAGGGAGAGATGATAAATGGTAGAGGGCTGGAGCATCTGCAGGGAAATATTGTAGGAGTCTCCTATATTAAATATATTTCTATATTAAAGAAAAATAACATTCTGAGCCTTCTAAAGAAGAGCTGTTAAGAAAAACTGCAGGTTTTATTGTAAGGAAAGTATAATAAAGGCATATAAGATCCTGTCTGATGTTTGTTGTTCATTCGTTCAGTCGTCTCCGACTCTTCGTGACCTCATGGACCAGCCCACGCCAGAGCTCCCTGTCGGCCGTTACCACCCCCAGCCCCCTCAAGGTCAGTCCAGTCACTTCAAGGATGCCATCCATCCATCTTGCCCTTGGTCGGCCCCTCTTCCTTTTGCCTTCCACTTTCCCCAGCATAATTGTCTTCTCTAGGCTTTCCTGTCTCCTCATGATGTGGCCAAAGTACTTCAACTTTGTCTCTAGTCTCTTTCCCTCCAGTGAGCAGTCGGGCTTTATTTCCTGGAGGATGGACTGGTTGGATCTTCTCGCAGTCCAAGGCACTCTCAGAACTTTCCTCCAACACCACAGCTCAAAAGCATCTATCTTCCTTCGCTCAGCCCTCCTTATGGTCCAGCTCTCACATCCATAGGTAAGTGCGGGGAATACCAGCTTTGACTAGGCGGATCTTTGTTGCCAGTCTGATGTCTCTACTCTTTACTATTTTATCGAGATTGGACATTGCTCTCCTCCCAAGAAGTAAGCGTCTTATGATTTCCTGGCCACAGTCTGCATCTGCAGTAATCTTTGCACCTAGAAATACAAAGTCTGTCACGGCCTCCACGGTTTCTCCCTCTATTTTCCAGTTGTCAATCATTCTTGTTGCCATAATCTTGGTTTTTTTGACGTTTAGCTGCAACCCGGCTTTTGCGCTTTCTTCTTTCACCTTGATTAGAAGGCTCCTCAGCTCCTCCTCGCTTTCGGCCATCAGAGTGGTGTCATCTGCATATCCGAGGTTGTTAGAAGATAAGTAAAATAATAGGATCATAGAACCATACAGTTGGAAGAGACTTCGTGGGCCATGCAGTCCAACCCCCCGCCAAGAAGCAGGAAAATCACATTCAAAGCACTCCCAACAAATGGCCATCCAGCCTCTGTTTAAAAGCTTCCAAAGATGGAGCCTCCACCACAGTCTGGAACAGAAAGTTCTACCACTGAACAACTCTCACAGGAAGTTCTTCCTAATGTTTAGGTGGAATATCCTTTCCTGCCTTGTATGAAATCACAAGTGTAGGCTGTATTTCAAATCACCTCTGAATATTTCTTGCCTAAAAATCTTTGCAAAAAACTATTGACAAAAATTCATGGGATTATCATAAATCCCATACACAATAAATATATAGCAGAGTGATATCACTATTTACACTCTCTGCCCAAAAATTGTTCACATCTCCCTGTGGCTTGAGGCAGGATACAACATCATTAAAACAAGAGATAAAACACTATTTAAAAACATACAGCAAGGTACACAGAGTTAAAGTTAAAATCCACCGATAAAATGAATTACACTATGTAACACAGTTTTTGTTCCTGGGTTATAAATATTTCCTAATTGCAAAAACTTTGTTTTTGCGTGACATCCTACAGCACATTTTGCTATAGTTTTTCAATGAATATCTCACAGAGTGTCAACCAAATCAACATAGTTTGTGGCAGACACAAAATCAAAGTTTCTGGAATATAACAACTACTTTCAAAGTAAGTACCACACGACTGAACAGGAAATAACATTTTCAAACTAGGAACATAAAAGTGTTCAAATTTTGTTTCATAGTGTTATCTGCTATGTTTCCACCACGTGAACTCAAATTGAACTTGTTTCTCAGACAGGTATTACCAACATAGGGTTTTCTGATATTATGTTTGGAGTCAAAACCTTCCTGGCAGAGTGTTTTCAGCAGGCTGCTGCACGGCTTAAAGTGCCAGACAAGCATTGCTCTAAGTGGGCAAAGAAAAGCATTGCTTGCATTCAGAGCTATAGAACTGGCCAAAGGAAAACAGAGAGGAAAGCATCAAGCTCTTATCAAGCTCAGGTTTGTACCAAAGATGAAGGAAACTGCCTTGCAAAAATCTGCCTGTTTTTAATGGTGGTTGGAGTTCATGCTTATGTGCCTTGTGTGCCTATTCAATTTTGATAGCTTTTTAGAAGGAAGCTATGATACTTATCCCACAATTTTGGTAAAACATCAAAAACATCCATGCATCCCCAGGGCAACATCCTTACAGACAGCCAACTCTCTCACACCAGAAGCAACTTGCTATTTCTTAAGTCGCTCCTGACACGAAAAAAAAATCCCCAAGTCAGTGGGGAAATGACCTTGTTTGAACTCTTACCCACAGAACCATGCAGTCTCCATGCACAGGGAATACCAAAGTTCAAAAAGGGTTTTCAAGGTCTGCCTCAAAGTTGCTGACAGTTTGCATCTCACATGTAGTAAGTCATTTCATTCACCCTGGAAGCGGGAATCATATGTGGGCATTAAAAGGTCACATCTCTAGAAAAAATACAGATATTTAAGAGTTGCTGTGTGCTTGCATTCCCAGCAATTAAAGGCCCCAAATACTGACCTTTTAATGCAGTTCAAAGCTAGCTTCAAACTGCAGCAGCCAGGCAACAAGCTCCCACAAAAGGGTGCGGGGGAAAGCCTTTAATGCTTATCAGTGCTCTGTGGTTTGTGTAATCACCATCTGGGACTCAAATTGGTTCTTGAATGTCTTGTAATCATCTGCACTTTCCTCAATACTGGTTTGAAACTTCATTAAATGGTCAGTGTAGACGTGGCCAAAGACAGACTGAAAGAAAAGTGTTCCCAAAGGTACTTGCTACTAAAGCACTCTTAGGAATAAGCTATAAATCAGAGCAGTCCTTTGACAGAATTAGCTGCTATATCACTAGGCTGCTGTATCACACAATATGGGGACAGATGCAAAATTGTTGTTGATGCATGACTTCAAATGGTTTCTGACTTATGGTGAATCTAAAGTGAACCTATAACAGGGTTTTCTTGGCAAGATTTATTCAGAGGGTGGTTTGCCATTGCCTTCCTCTAAGGCTGAGAGAATGTGACTTGCCCAAGGTGACCCAGGGGATTTCCAGGCTGAGCAGGACTTGAACCTTCTTTTCCAGAGTCACAGTCCAGTGCTTAAAGCACAGCACGGCACTAGCTCTCTTATCTCATTACAAATATGGGAAAACTAAGCAGACTAAGTGCAGTTCAATTCTAATTTATACCTGGCTGCAAGACCCAGGCGGGATTTACACTGCCATATAATCTAGTATCTGTGGCGCAGTGGGTTAGACCCTTGTGCCGGCAGGACTGCTGACCTAAAAGTCAGTGGTTCGAATCCAGGGAGCATGGTGAGTTCCTGTCTGTCAGCTCCAGCTTCTCATGTGGGGACATGAAAGAAGCCTTCCATGGGATGGTAAAACATCCGGGCATCCCCTGGGCAACGTCCTTACAGAGCCAATTCTCTCACACCAGAAATGACTTGCAATTTCTCAAATCACTCCTGACACACAAAAAAGAATCTGATCCCAGATTATCTGCTTTGAATTGGATTATATGAGTCTGTTCAGTAACGCTCCAAAGTTAGTGTATGAGTGAACACCAAGCTCTACAGTCAGAGACACCAGCAGCCTTCCCCTTAGGAACCTTTGATACTGATTTGTTTAATTTAATATTTGTCACCATTTCTTTCAGATCATGGGAGAAAAGGATCTTCCAGGTGTCCTTATCTTTGATATTGGAGGTGCAGTTGGTGTATTGGAAAGTCACGTGGAGTTCCTCAAGAAACACTTCACTCTCATCACTATGAAGGAGTTTCAGGAAAACCAGAAAGAACTACGTGAAAAGATTAAGTCTGTGTTTGTATTTGAGCGCCAGCCTACCATTGACCGGGAGCTTCTGGAAAGCCTGCCCAACTTAAAGGTGGTTGGAAACTCAGGAGTAGGAGTGAATCATTTGGATTTAAAACTGATCTCTAGCTTTGGAGTAAAAGTAACCAACACTCCACATGCTGTTTCTGACTCAACGGCGGACATTGGCATGGCATTAATGCTGGCATCTGCCAGAAGACTAGTAGAAGGTAAAATGCTTGTTTAATCCAACAAAGAAATGTTCCACTGTATCCAAAGTTATGAGTGATAAGCGAGACTCCGAGGAACATAATCTGCACTTTCATTTACACATCCCTTCCCAAATCAACTCCTCAGTCTGTTGTAGTTAATAAGATTTTATACTAGGTCTTCGTGCAAAGCCTCATAGCCAGAAGTGAGGATATTTGTGAATAAGAAGAACTGGCCTTTCCCATTAAAATAGTGTTTCTCAACCTTTCTAATGCCGCGACCCCTTAATGCAGTTCCTCATGTTCTGGTAACCCCCAACCATAAAATTATTTTCGTTGCTACTTCACAATTGTAATTTTGCTACTATCATGAATCGTGTAAATCTCTGATACGCAGGATGTATTTTCATTCACTGGACCAAATTTAGCACAAATACCTGATACGCCCAAATTTGAATACTGGTGACGCTGGGGGTGGGGTGGGGGGTTCATTTTGTCATTTGAGAGTTGTAGTTGCTGGGATTTATAGTTCACCTACAAGCAAAGAGCATTCTGAACTCCACCAATGATGGAATTGAACTAAACTTGACACACAGAACTCCCATAACCAACAGAAAATACGGGACGGGTTTGGTGGGCTTGAGTTTTGGAGTTGTAGTTCACCTATATCCAGAGAGCACTGTGGAATCAAACAATGATTGATCTGGACCAAACTTGACATAGATATGCAATATGCCCAAATGTGTACACTGGTGGAGTTTGAGGAAAATGTCCATCTAGTTTAGAACTCTAGTTAGTTTCAAGTCTTCAAAGTATTTTGCAGATGGTTTTCAGGTCCTTTAATCTTAAACACAGATCTCCAGATGTTGTTCTAAAACCGTGGTTCCCAGCTTTTTTTGACCAGGAACTGCTTGACCAGGGTCCACTTTGACCAGGGACCACTCTCAAGCATTAGTACCAAAAGTGTTATGAATCAGGTTTTGGTCAACTTTAGATTTGGTTTGGTTATTTGGGTGCTGATTCAGAAAATTGCATTGGCTAGACCACATCAGCTCTAGTTTCTGATACAGAACATAAGCCATCCAGTAGTTGCCATCTGCTCACCCACAGAAAACCATATTTAATAATTTATCGTGTCAGAAGCAACCAGACAGTTGTATTACATTTTTAACAAAACAAACAAACAGACAAAACACAAAGTTTACAAGCTTGGTAGTTGATTAAATGTCCTTTGACCAGTATCTGGCCACTTGGAGTACCTCTGGTGTTGCCGCAATTTAGAGCTGAAGTGATAGTAGTAATCTTAGGTGGGTAGTCATCCTCTCCCCTCTCAACATCCCTGTTGCCTCAGCGTTTCGCGAGACCAGGCACTCTTGTTGCCGCGTGGTTTCAAGGCAACGGTGTAGTAATGGTGAGGCTGCGGACCATATTTTCGTTTTTGCAGACCACTGGTGGTCCATGGATCAGGGCTTGGGAACCACTGTTCTAAAATCACCAGAATCCTCGATCATTGGTTGTGCTAGCTGAGGCTGTATCTACACTGCCATATAATCCATATTATCAAAGTAATACAGATTGTATGCTTTGAAGTGGGTTATATGAGTCTACACTGCCATACAATCCAGTTCAAAGCAAATTATCTGGATTTTGAATATCAGTGTAGAAGGAACCTGAGTATTCTGTGTGCTCAAATCAACTTTATTTTGGGACCTGTAGTCCTAACTAGATATACCACTTAATACCATCTACTACACATAGACAAATGTCCATTGGACTACCGATCTATATTCTTGTTTGCTCACTGTATGAATACAGAATATAAATGTGTACTGTACAATGGAGAATATTTTAAACTTCATGTCTACACTGTTTCTCTAACTGAAAAGGGATAATTTAGTTCACACTGTTTTATGGCTTTTTAAATAGGTCATTCCATTGCAACATCTCCAGATACCACACATTTTGCTGTGGACTGGCTAGGAGTAGAAGTCACCCGAGCGACCCTTGGCATCATTGGGATGGGAAGCATTGGATATAAAGTGGCAAAGAGAGCAAAAGCTTTCCACATGAACATTCTCTATCACAACAGGAATCGTAGGTAAAGGTGTGCTGGGGATGTTACTGTTGTGTGACTTGTCGGTGTTCTTCGATATTAGGATTTATACTTCCAACTCAGTCAGAAGCAGCTTCTTGAAACTACGTATCTGTATGCCATGTTAAAATATGTTAATCTGCATGTGATCGTAGAGGCTGACTGGTAATAAGAGACAGGAACACGGTAAAATATAAAAATGCTAATCCTTGAAGACATGACCTATTGCCATGTCCAAATCAGAAAAGTCAGTGTAATGTGATTCTTCCTGCTGAAATTTGTAAACTGAAATGGAAAGAAATACTAATTTTATTTTTCAATAAGCTCTACAAATCACAAATGGAGCCCCCGGTGGCGCAGTGGGTCAAACCCCTGTGCCGGCAGGACTGAAGATCGACAGGTCGCAGGTTCAAATTTGGGGAGAGGCGGATGAGCTCCCTCTGTCAGCTCTAGCTCCCCAAGCGGGGACATGAGAGAAGCCTCCCACAAGGATGATAAAAACATCAAATCATCCGGGCATCCCCTGGGCAACGTCCTTGCAGACGGCCAATTCTCTCACACCAGAAGCGACTTACAGTTTCGGAAGTCGCTCCTGACACGACAAAAAAAAAATCACAAACAAACAAAACCGCTCTTCAGTATTAAAATATAAACCAGGGCTTCTTTGACTTTGTCATGACTCTATGTCTATTAACCATTGTTTAACAGATATACTTGCTTGCAACATAAAAAATGTAAAAATTGAGGGGCAGAACAACTTGTTTGTAACACAGGCATGGACAAACTAAGTCCCGGGGGCCAGAAGCAGCTCTTCTTATTTTCCCTGTCCTCTCAGCATAAGGACACGGTGGCCTGTCACATCCTTACTTAGAAAGAATGGGGGAGGAAGGCACGCAGCAGCAGAGAGGCTTATGGAGTGCTCTCAGCCACAGCATCTCTCCTCCTCTCGACATAAGGACAGTGTGAGCAGCCCCATCCTTATGCCAAAGGATGGCCCAAGGAAGGCACGGAGTGCTGAGAGCCCTCTGGAGTACTCTTAGCCATTGCCTGTGTCACCTTCCTCTCGGCATTATGCTGGGAGATTGGGGGAGCACGAAGATCTGGGGAGGAGGATCAAGGAGGAGGATCGGGCTATTCACCACATGTCTCATTTTCCTCCCGGCGTAAAAATGGGGTGAGCAGCCCCATCCTTACGCCAGGAGGGAAATCTGAGGACAATCCGGGCCCTGCCCTGCCCCGCCCTCTCCCAACCTCACCATCTCACAGGCCCTCTCCCTCCCAGCTCCATCTCACCCAGTGTGTGTCTCCCTCCCGACCCGGTTTTCTTGGTCGGGCCCACAATGCGACCCCAAGACAAAAACGTTTTCCCATGCCTGTTGTAACAACAAAGATGTAATCTAGATTTTTGGCTGTTTCTGGAGAAGGTGTTTTCAAGGAACAAAAACAGTGAGTGGCAATACTCTTTATCTTCAGAACTAGTAGTCAACACAAGTCATGGGAAACATAAAAAGATATTTTATACTAGAATATATTCCTCAATGCCTTTGTTTTGGGAAAAATACTACTTTAAAATGCTCTGTGGGCTAGATGAGGGTTTAAACCAGGGGTCCTCAAACTTTTTAAACAGAGGGCCAGGTCACAGTCCCTCAAACTGTTGGAGGGCCGGATTATAATTTGAAGGGGAAAAACACATGAATGAATTCCTATGCACACTACACATATCTTATTTGTAGTGCAAAAAAAAACATTTAAAAATTATACAATAATTAAAATGAAGAATGATTCCAACAAATATAAACTTATTAGTATTTCAATGGAAAGTGTGTGCCTGCTTTTGGCTGATGAGACAGGATTGTTGTTATTGTTGTGTGCTTTTAAGTCATTTCAGACTTAGGTTGATCCTGAGCGAGGGCCGGGTAAATGATGTTGGAGGGCCATATCCGGCCCTCGGGCCTTAGTTTGAGGGCCCCTGGTTTATACATTGCTTCTGTGACCTTTGTGTGGCTCATGGGCCGTGTTTGCATTAAAATGTAGAAATTGTTTCCTTTTGTAAGCAATGCATTCTTTAACATCCTTTGCCAATTTTGAAAGGTAGAAAATGTGTAGAACTTGGAACAACACAGCTGTCCTGTATGCAGTACTGATGGGCCGGAATCAACTTTCTGGACTGAAACATTAATTCCCACAGGAAAAGAATCCACAAAGAGCTCCAATCCCTGCCTTAAAACAGTTCTAGCACTGAGCAGCACTAGTATACGTTGTTATTCTCACATGTATTCCTTCTAGAAAAGAGGAAGAAGAACAAGAAGTTGGTGCAACTTACTGTAAAAATATGGAAGACTTGCTCCAGCAGTCTGACTTTGTGATGCTGATTGTGAATTTGACACCAGAGACTCAGAAGCTCATTGGCAAAAGGCAGCTTGAGCTGATGAAACCCACTGCTACTCTTATCAACATCTGCAGAGGTAGGGCATGTGTTTGCCCAGATGTTCACTTTTGTTCTTTTGATGGTTGCAACTATCAAACTTTTCCCAAAATGTAGCACTATAATTGCATTCCTTAAAAAGTCAGTGTTATAGGAAACCATGCACTAAAAATAACAGGACAAATGAGGGAAATATGGTTAGGTGCAGATATCAAAATATTGCTGATATCTAAGATGTTGTTTGCCACAAATGTTAATGAATGCATTTTAATTATAAGCACAAATGGTCACTGTTACCATTCAGAAGCATGAGTGTAAGTATTCATGCTAGAGGTGGGCAAAATTTGGTCCTTCCAAATCTCTGGAGCCCCACCAAAAAGTCGAGAACCCTGATATCTTTTTACAGCTAAATGCTTGTCATGCCTTAGCATAGACAAGCTTTGGATTACTGTCACAGTCAAATGCTTTTGGAAATGCTTCCTCATCCTTCTTCTCACTTACTTCTCTCCCATCATAAAATATTATCCCTCAAAAATGCCCCATCACCACCTTCCATCCACCTCACTTCCCCGCACTCTTATGTGGGGAAATATTTATCTGTCTTTCTTTGCATAATAATCACCACTGCATAATAGTTGCACCCCACTTTTGGAGAAGGCAAAAATTGAGTTTGGTCATTCCCTGCATAATAGTCTCAGCCTTAATTAACTTGCCCAAGTGAGGGAACTAGGGGTGTGACTGCCATTTTGGCGCTGCCGTGAAACCAAGAATCTGCTCCCAAATGGGGATTAATCCAAGCAGCAAACAGTCCAAGACGTAACGGGTTTTTTCACCATGTAATAGTCACCATTGCATAATAGTCACACCTTCCCTTTTCCTCAAGGGGGAATTGTGACTATTAGCAATGAAATAGAGTAGTTACTAAGAGTGGTCTATGGCCTTATGTGCATTAGAAGTGAACCTTAGTGTATAGAGTACCTTATACTTTTGTGTGAATATGTATAGAATTCGGTTGTATACCTTGGAGTAAATATCTAATTTCTCCCCCCCCCTTTTTTTTTCCCTTGCTTTTTCTCTATTAGGAGCTGTAGTTGATCAAGATGCTTTGGTAGAAGCTCTCCAAAAAGGAACTATTAGAGCTGCAGCTCTGGATGTGACTTGCCCTGAACCACTGCCAAGGTAAAATAATACTGATTAAACAAATAAAATATCTTCATTGATCCAGACATAATTCTGAAAACATGACAAATGCTCATGCTTCATCCTTTTTTCTTTTTTTTTCTTTACCTGGTTGCTTAGTCAATATGAGTGGCTAATGTAACACCGATATGCATAATATCTTATGGACTGGACGTACACTGGCTGTTTTGAGACTCCGCATAAGCTGACTCATAAATGCACACTGTGTTGGTGCATACTCTCAAATCCCTCTTTCATGCAGCATGAATAGCTCAACAAATCTCAAGGCTATGCTCTGTGGCTTTTGATATACAAAGCTAGCAACACCTTTCTCTCTAGCTTGTTTCTCCATAATATGCCAGAGTAAGAAACCAGAGGAGACAGCCTATTGATGGCATGCTGGTCTATTTTTTTTTCACACAACAAGCCAGAGAAATAACTCACAGGCTCATTGTTATGATGTCTGAAGATATTGATGAAATATGATTATGTAGTGTAGAGCCGCCAGTAGCACAGTGGGTTAAAACGCTGAGCTGCTAAACTTGTTAACTGAAAGATCACAGGTTCGAATCCGGGGAGCAGCATGAGCTTCCACTGTCAGCCCCAGCTTCTTTATTTTATATATATAAAAAATACCAATAGACACAATTACGATAGAAATGACAATGGGTGGGCCACATATTCCGAATAAAAACAATTAACAGACTATGATGAGATAAAATAGGAGCAGGAAGTTTAAATGGAACTCATAAAACACACAGAGTTATGAGGCAAAACATCCTATTTTGAGGGTACGTACTCCATTAGCCAAAAACGTTGAGGGGGTATAAAAAATCATACTGAGCACCTACTCGCCAAAGGCACAGCGGAAAAGTCAGGTTTTGAGGTTTCCAGTAATAAATAAATACTTGAATGCACACAACAACAATTATAGCTGTACAACCTCCTTAATGGCATGGATCCTTCTCTTTTTTTACTTTATAACTTATGCTTCCTCTTTTCCAACTACTTTCGCACACCAAAGCAATTAAAGTTATTCTGGCTCTGACAGGAGAATAATTATTCTGCTCTTCTTCTACTGCAGAAACCACTTGCTGTTGAAATTGAAGAATGTCATTATAACTCCTCACATTGGAACTGCGACTGTACAAGCCCTGCGTATGATGACTGAAGAAGCAGTAGAAAATATCCTGGCTGTTCTCAGTGACCTCCCCATTCCCAGTGAAGTGATCCATAAATGATTTCTGCAAGAACGTGAATAGTCAATGCCGGATCAGCAAAAGAATATTAACCTCTTAGTAACAAACAATGTAATATCATGGTTCTAAAGCAAATGGTTTTGATTTGTGTACTTTCCTATTGTGATCAATTTATGTATTCAATAAAATTTGTTTCAAGGTTTCTGAACATAATAAGTACATCTGTGAGTCCGTCATTTGTTCCTCTTTACAAACTGGATGTGTGAAGGTTGCTTGAAAAATGTGAAAAAGACTGAAAATGTAATCGTTCTCTTTAATTTTCAAAAGAACTAGCATACATTTCAAATTGTTTCATTATATTCATCTTCAAATAATGTCAAACATGAGGTTGTGACTGAACACCACTTGAGATTCTACTGGACCAGTGCTTCTCAACCTGGGTCCCTAGATATTTTTGGCCTACAATTTCCAGAAATCCTAACAGCTGGTAAACTGGCTGGGATTTCTGGGAGTTGTAGGCCAAAAACATCTGGGGACCCAAGGTTGAGAAGCACTGTACTAGACCATTCTAGAGATTGGAAAATGTATTTGAACTCCAACTCCAATAACTCCATGTTGGTTTAGAGCAGTGGTTCCCAACGTTTTTTTTTTACGAGAAACCACTTGACCAGGGACCACTTTGACCAGGAACCACTCTCCAACATTAGTACCAAAAGGATTACAAATCAGTTTTTGGTCAACTTTAGATTCGATTTGGTTATTTGGGGTGCTGATTCAGAAAACTGCATTGGATAGACCACATCAGCTCTAGTTCCTCATACAGAACATATGCCACCCATTAGTCACCATCCGCTCGCCCACAAAAAGCCATATGTAATTATCTAGAGCTGATGTGAGTAGTCAGCCTCTCCCCTCCTGACATCCCCGTTGCCTTGGCACTATAAAAGGGTTTTGTGAGCAGTCACTCTTGTTGCTGCGTGGTTTTGAGGAAACAGTTTAGTAACGGTGAAGACACAGACCATATTTTCATTCTTGCAGACCACTGGTGGTCCATGGACCACAGATTGGGAACCACTGGTTTAGAAATTATGGAAGCTGCTGTCCAAAATATTAACTTTTCCAAGCTCTGGATAATTTACATACAGGTTTAACCTGATGTCTCCTTTAGAAAATGTAAGTCATGCTAAATGAATAATAGCTTTAAATCTACATACTTCTGACTTTGCATATAATTCCAATAACACAAGTAGATTAAGTTCTTTTTAGTTGGGAAATCAGACAAATGTGGTAAGACTATGGGGACCCACATTTCAGCAGCGGAGGGTAGCAATATGAAGGATAGAGTGGACAGGGCCAAACCCAAGTAGGCTGAACTAGATGCAGATAATCTGGATTTTATATGGCAATGTAGAAGGAGCCGTAGAGTCACCATAAGACAAAAGCAACTTGAAGGTACAGGACACAGCAACTTCCTAGCTTGGGTTTTAATCACTTTTGTTGGTCTTACAGAAGTTTGCCTGTTAATAGCTCCAACTAATTTTAACGTGACTTATAGCATATACATTATTCCCATTAAAATTCAGTTAAGACAACTTAACTTTGTTTTCTCCACATTTGCCTTAGGGGCACTGTAATCAGAACATACTTCACGGTACAAAATAACAATAGCAGCCTAATTCGTGAAGTTTACATACTTCCTTATCTCCAATCAGAGGAAATTTGTAGCTGGATGTAAAAGCCCACACTTAACATATAAATGGATTGAATAACGACACATACCTGAAGTAGAAGGCCCTCCTGCATTAAAGCAGCAGCCTTCTTTTGGATTCTTAGCTTCCTAGGTCAGAGTCAGTGTTTGTTATTTAATAAAAAGAGGTGACTTTCTGCATTTTCAAACTTTAATTTTAAGTAAAGAGATGAACGAGTTAATGGTACAACATTTTCAAATAGCAACCTGGTTATCTAAAGATGGTGATGTACACTTGCTGCATGATGCCTTTTCTTGGCAAGTAAAAAGGCTTAAAAAGTAACTGGGTGCATTCTAGTGTTCAAAGTTCAGCATTGAGTTTTTTATGTTATTTGAGGGATTCCAATCTTCAAAAGAGCTTATTAATTTGTTTGCCGTACATTCATTTTCAAGGATTTTTTTTTACCTGTGGAAATTGTAGCTTTGCAGGTAATTGATAGTAGTGATGACAAATAAGGCTATGGGATTGGCAAGAAGAAAACGATCTCATTCATGACCTCACAACCTCTGAGGATATTTTTTTTCCGTGTCAGGAGCAACTTGACTAACTGCAAGTCGCTTCAGGTGTGAGGGAATTGGCCGTCTGCAAGGATGTTGCCCAGGAGATGCCCGGATGTTTCGATGTTTTATCATCCTTGTGGGAGGCTTCTCTCATGTCCCCACATGGGGAGTTGGAGCTGACAGAGGGAACTCATCCGTGCTCTCCCCATCTTTCAGTCCTGCTGGCACAGACAACATATCTCATTCATGTCGTACTAATTACTGTAGATTTGTTCAGGGAGTAAGGTGGGCTACTAACAGTAAAATAGCAGCATACTATGTGTTTTGAGCAGATCTCTAATGCCTTTTTAATATTGCTCCAGAAAAGTAATAGTCTTTTACTCTTCTGCAGGTCATGGAAGGACCAGAACTACCTGGGTTGTTGGTAAATGAAGTAGGTGGCATACTTGGGATCTTGGAAGCACACTTGCCATTTCTGAAGAAGCACTTTCAGCTGATCACCATGGAGGAATTCCTTGAGAGCAAAGAACGTTTCAGTGCCAAAGTCAAAGCTATTTACGTCTGGTGGCATAAACCAGTCATTGATCGGGAACTTTTGGACAGCCTGCCTCACTTGAAAGTGATCGCAAATTCAGGAATAGGAATGGATCACTTGGATCTGAAACTGATCTCTGGATATGGAGTGAGAATGGCCAACGCTCCTCATGCTGTGTGCAGCAGCACAGCGGATATTGGCATGGCTCTTTTGCTAACAGCTGCAAGAAGAATAGTTGAAGGTAAAGTTTGAAATAATATGTATGCTTCCACACATTGTTACAATTGGCCCACCGTTTGAGTGCTAGGTTCTCTTTAGATGAAGTTTCCTTCAGAAGGAAATCCTTGGAAGGCCATTGAAGGTTGATATTTTTTTTTTTTGCACCTTAAGTAGTCCGAAAGCTAATGAAAGCCTGTACCCTGCCGACACATCCCTTTGTTCCTTATCTAGTCCTATGCCAGCCCTAAATTGCATTACTAACTAATGAGCTGTCAACTGTCTTAATTCTTTATTTAAACGTTCCATAATAACCCTGTATCAAGAAGTGATTGTCTTATCATTTGCTTCCACTGAGACACCTGAATATGTTGTGAGCCTTTGTTTCCGACTTATGACAACCTATCGTGGAATTTTCTTTGCAAGATTTGTTCAGGGTGGATTTGCTTTTCCCTTTCTCTGGAGCTGAGAGAGGGTGATTTGACCAAGGTCACCCAATAGATTTCCATGGCTGAGCAGGGATTCTTACTCTAGTATCCAGAGCTGAAGGCACAGAATAACAACAAATGCACTGAACAGAAAGTTATGGGGTTTCCAGCAAGAGTGGAAATGATGCCGCCATCCAGATGCGGTAAACCCCATACCACTTGGTAAATCTACACTATAGAATTAATGCAGCTTGACATCACTTTAACTACCATGGCTCAATGCTATAGAATCCTGGGAGTTGCAGAGTTACAAGGTCTTTAGCCTCTGTCAAAGAGTGTCCAGTATTATAGCATTGCTCCATAGCATGCAGCTTGTTCATGGTAAGCTATTATTCTCCAGAATTCTGGCATTGATGTGTTTGAAGGCAGCCATGGCTTTATACAGTTTTTATCAATATGTGCAGAACAACGGTTATGACATCCAGTCAGAATTCTATCTTTATTTGTTGACTACTCCTTTCCCAATGCTTTATCTCTTTCTTTGTTTAGGGTATCAAATTGCTGTTTCCCCCGATACTAAATATTTCTCAAGTAATTGGCTAGGCGATGATGTCACCGGTGCGACTCTGGGCATCATTGGAATGGGCAGCATTGGCTACAAAATTGCTCAAAGAGCTAAAGCTTTTGAGATGAAAATTCTTTATCACAACAGGAACAGGAGGTAAAAAATGTGTGTTTTGATACAGGTTTGGAATAACCTTTATATCATGATAAACTAATGTCTTCAAGTAACCTTAAAGAGTTGATAAAACTGGACATACCCTTTATATTCAAACTGAATGAAGTCAAGGGCTATGGGATGTGCAGGTATGCTTCCTGTTATGAAGAGGGCTGAGTAACTAACCCTTGAAATGACTTAATAATAACAATAATTCTACAGTCTAATCTGTTGCTAGCCCTAGACAGCATTGTTAATGGTGAAGAATAATGGGAGCTGCAAGCCAAAAGTTCCTGGAGAGCTAGTGTTGATATAAAAAGAATGTGTGTGTCTACATATGTGGCTATTTCCAGCATAGCTCCAAGATCTGTTGAACGAGGCACCTCTATTATATTTCTATCAGGAAGGAAGATGAAGAACGACTTGTGGGTGCCTGCTTTTGTCCTAAAATAGAAGACTTGCTCCAGGAGTCTGACTTTGTCATGGTGGTGGTCAGTCTAACACCTCAGACGTACAGACTGATTGGGAAGAAGGAGCTGGAGCTGATGAAGCCCACAGCTACTCTCATAAACATATCTAGAGGTAGGCCATAAAGAACCTCCTTAAAGAATCTCTTAGAACTACTGCTAAATATTTAACATGCAAAGAACAAAAAAAGGACCTCATCACAATAGAGAATGAATCCACTTTAAACCCGGTATGACCTGTATGCAGATTAATGTAACAAAAGAAACCATTTTTATTTATTTATTTTTGCTTGTGGTTTTTAAATTGTTTCACTGTTGGGACGGCTGAGAGCCAGGAAATAATAATAATAATAATAATAATAATAATAATAATAATAATTATTATTATTATTATTATTATTGGAAGACTGACAAAGTTTTGGAACACAATACACCAGACATCATGATTGTGGAAAAGAAAAAAGTTTGGATTATTGATGTCGCCATACCAGGTGACAGCCAAATTGACGAAAAATAACAGGAAAAACTCAGCCGTTATCAAGACCTCAAAATCAAACTGCAAAGGCTCTGGCATAAACCAGTACAGGTGGTCCTCGTGGTCATCGGCACATTGCCAAAAGATCTCATCCGACATTTGGAAACAATAAACATTGACAAAATCACAATCTGTCAACTGCAAAAGGCCACCTTACTTGGATCTGTGCGCATCATTCAAAAATTCATCACACTGTCCTAGACGCTTGGGAAGTGTTTGACTTGTGATTTTGTGATACAAATCCAGCATTTATATCTTGTTTGCTGTGACACCCTGTGTTTTTGTGTCAATAATAATAATAATAATATTCTTTATTTATATTCTGCTCTATCTCCCCAAGGGGACTCAGAGCAGATTACAGAATACATTTATGGCCAACATTCAGTGCCATTATACAATTAACAAAGACAGACAGTACATAGACAGAGGCAAGGCTTCCCTCTTTTTCATTTCCAGCATCTGGAGGCTGTGCTCGACTCGGCCATGGGGAGGTGGTGTTGTCCCATTTTCTCTCCAAGGAGCCTGTTGTCCATGGCTGTCTTGCTGGCATGTCTTCAGGGCCACTTTTTGCCTCCCCGCAAAAGCAGTACCTATTTATTTACCCACATTGCTATTTTCAAACTGCTAGGTAAACAGAAGCGCTAGGGCTGATGGTGGGAGCTCACCCCGACCCACGGCTTGAAATGCTGGTGGTTTAACCTGCTGTGCTAATCGCATTATTAATAAAGAAACAGTATTGTTTGTTATTTCTTTTAAAAATTGTTAGGCTTATGTATTATATTCTGTTTTATCATAGCTTTAAATGTTGCTTTATTAACTGCCCAGAAAGATGCAACTGTTACATGGTAAATAAATGTAGTAATAAATTCATTGCGTCCTAGAATAAATAACTGTCGGTAGAGAGTAACTATTGTGGTGAATGTAGAGCTTGGATAAGCTATTTTATGAACTATAGCTCCCAGAATCATAGAATCATAGAATCAAAGAGTTGGAAGAGACCTCATGGGCCATCCAGTCCAACCCCCTGCCAAGAAGCAGGAATATTGCATTCAAATCACCCCTGACAAATGGCCATCCATCCACGTTGAATCATCCATTCAACGTGACTGGGATCATTCAGGGGGTTGTAAGCAAAAACTAGCTTTTTCAAGCTCTGATACATATCTTTCATGGATTATCTTTAAATGCATAAGAACATTATCTATATTTATTTGCACATAGGTCCAGTCATAGACCAAGACATGCTTGTGAAAGCCCTTCAAACTGGTAATATTAAGGGTGCAGTCATGGATGTGACTTATCCTGAACCATTGCCCAGGTAAACAATTTATCATTTGTATGGAAATATGGAAAAGTTCACCAGCACATTTTTAAGACTTCAGAAAAGATGTGGAAGTTCACTCTGGAGTCTTTCCTATTCTGTTACAACAATTCACATTTTTTCATATCTATTGTAAGACAATAGACTGAGGCGCATATTTAAAACTAATGTTTTTGCTTCTCCTTCTATAGTCCAAGGACTAGAAGACTAAAATGGGGTCTTGGGACACTTGATGCTTCAAAGGGAATTAATTGTAGTGTTCAAGACAGTCCCTAGCACTATAAATTCTTGTAAAAATAAGCTTTTCACAAGAAGGCATTGCTTATTGCCGATAAAGTCAAGTCATTTAAATTTGTTATACAGTATCTTGTAGAATAACAGGTATTCTATTCACTTTCACTCTGTTATAAACTGACATTAAAACTACTAGTAGCATTCCTATCACTTAGGTGTACAAGGTACTAACTATTAGTTTGCTTTTGTTTACATTTACCTATATGCATCTTTGCAATGTTGTATATCTTGCATACAAATACATCAAGAAATAATGTGATTTAAATCCATTTCTGTTCCGAACTGCAAGATAACAAAATGTAGACAAGATGAAAAGGGGTAAATACTTTTGTAGGACACTGTATTATTTGGAATGTGACTTTATTCCACCTTCAATACCAAAAACAACAAAAACTTATTACAGATAGTTACACTACTTGTAGCTAGCTGCTCCCATATTTTGGGTAGAATTCTTTAATAGTTCCATTTTTTTCTTTCACTAATTTGGATGACATTCATTACCTAACTTTATCTTTTTGTATCTTCTTTGTTTCAGAGATCATCCGCTATTAAAATTAAAGAATGTTATCATAACACCTCACCTTGGTGCCAGGACAACAAAAACTATCTTTATGATAACAAAGGAAGCAGTAGCAAATATACTGGCTGTTCTTAATGGTCTCCCAATGCCCAGTGAAGTGCTCCCTGGTTAAGCATGCTGGACATCATCACCCATAATATAAATTTATCTTATATTTTTCCTAGTATAATAAGGATAGTGATTAAATATTGATCTCACATATATAAATGTGGTTTTAAGTGTATATTGTTAAGGCATCAAATGGCTGCCTGGTTGTAAGCCACCTTGAGTCACCTTCAGATTCGAAAAAGGCGGGATAGAAATATCATAAATAAATAAATAAATAAATAAACATTCCTTAATTAACCTCTGAAAAGGAAGCTCCCGTTTCAAGGTTGTCTCCTTCTTCTGCTGCTGCTGCTTCTTCTTCTGCTGCTTCTGCTGCTTCTTCTGCTGCTTCTTCTTCTTCTTCTTCTGCTGCTGCGGCTGCTGCTTCTGCTGCTGCTGCTTCTTCTGCTGCTGCTTCTTCTGCTGCTGCTTCTTCTTCTGCTGCTGCTGCTTCTGCTGCTTCTTCTTCTGCTGCTGCTTCTTCTTCTGCTGCTGCTGCTTCTGCTGCTACTTCTGCTGCTGCTGCTTCTTCTGCTGCTGCTTCTTCTGCTGCTGCTGCTACTCCTGCTGCTTCTTCTTCTTCTGCTGCTTCTTCTTCTGCTGCTGCTGCTTCTGCTGCTTCTTCTTCTGCTGCTGCTTCTTCTGCTGCTGCTTCTTCTGCTGCTGCTTCTGCTTCTGCTGCTACTGCTTCTTCTGCTGCTGCTTCTTCTGCTGCTGCTTCTGCTGCTGCTGCTGCTTCTGCTGCTTCTTCTGTTTCTTCTTCTGCTGCTTCAGCTTCAGCTTCAGCTTCTTCTTCTTCTTGACCTAACCAGCCCCTTTTCCCCTTTGTCATCTGTACAGATGGGGGAATCTTTTATCGGCATTGCCATTTGGAAATGGCGAAGAAGGGCTGGAGAAATGCAGATGTTCAAATTGGGTTGTAGCAGTATGCCTGTAGTACTTCATAATAATTTGGAACCAAACAGAGGCTTGACACTCAAGTGCCATCAATATAAAATGGTATTTTAGGCATAAGGGATATCCTGAGAATAGGCTTGCCTGCAATTTCAAAATGTCCTCTTTTGGCTGCAGGAATACACACATCTTTTGACCTTCAGGGTTGCATCTGGTATTGCAAATCTTGTAGGTTTATGTGTGAAAACTGTGCACACCTACTCATACTAATAGTTATACTAAGAGTCAAAGAACAACATAACTATGAAAATCTCATTAGTCCTGAAATTGCTGCTGAGTGCAAGAATAAAGTCTATATGCTTTAAAACACACACACACATCTTATTTTTCTTGAAGTTTTCTTGTGACCTTGAAGAGGGAGAGAGATTTTTTAGCTGTCACCACTGTCAGGCAATTAAAAGTCAGAACCCATGCTGACCTATTTCACAGGCAAAGGGCAACCTAGTTGACCCCAAACTAATTTACCATCCTTGGCTTTCATGCCCCCGTGTCTGCAAAACAAAACAAAAGAAAAACAGGAGTGGCTTGTTACTTTCATCATATATTGCTCACAGACTTCCTAGAATCATCTGCTTGGTTACTGTGCAATGCCAAGGTTAGGAAAACTGTCTCGGAAAGCAAGTTTGCATGCTTATGAGACTTCCTGATTTATGAGCCAAAATGTTGTCTGGCTTGGATACTGCATGTTCTGACTTTATTGGATAGCAATGGCAGATGGTTACTTCCATGTTGGAGAGGCGTGGAACCTACTCTAGGTTTTAATCTTAATTTTGATGAAGCTGTCTGATGTGATACACTTTATCTATCTCCTTAAAAAGAGTGAACATTAAAGGATAGCTCCTTTAAAGTTTACATTAGAATCCAGAGCACATTTATCACTCTATTAAAAAAACAACTATCAGCTACTGCTTCTATCCTGTGTAAGACTGGCTAGGGGTGCATGTACACAGTAGAATTAATGCAGTTTGACATCGCTTTAATGCAATGCTATGGAATTCTGGGAGTAGTAGTTTGGTGAGAGACCAGCCCTCTTTGGCAGAGAAGGCTAAAGACCTTGTAAAACGAATACTCCGAGGATTCCATAGCACTGAGCATTGGCAGTAAAGTGGTGTCAAACTACATTAATTCTGCAATGTGTAGATGCACCCAAGAACCAAGGAGAATGTTCTTACATGCAGCCGATGCTGGCAGGGAAAAACTAAACCTCTTGCAGAGCTTAAACAGAGTTGCAAATAGAAGCATTTGTTGGGCCATGTAAGAAATCAGTTAGTGTGTGTGTCAACTGTAAAATAAGATGCACAAAGCTGATTGGTTAGGCTATGCCTGGGGGAGCTAGCTGAGCCTAGGAGTTTTGGATACTATTACATTTTTCAGGCGTGAGCTGTGCAGGTGCTTGTAGAGAAGCACAGAGAGATGGTTTAGAGCAGTGGTTCTCAACCTGTGGGCTACGGCCCAACACTGGGCCACGAGAACAAAAATCCAGTTTGTGAACCTCCTTCTTCTTTATTTTATTTTATTTTATTTTATTTCCACTCCTTTCCACAGAGCTAACCAGCCACATCCCTTTTGGTACTAAAGTTGGAGAATGGTCCCTAGTTAAAGTGGTCCCCGGCCAAGTGGTCCCTGTTCAAGTGGACCCTGGTCAAAAAAGGTTGGGAACCACTGGATTAGGGTGTGTTCTTGCTTTATGAGCTGCTGGAGGAAGATTTTCCACATTGACAAAGAAAGACCATTTTAAATCTCTCTAAAAGTACATTATGTGAGTTAATGCAACTGATCACATGATTGTACATATGTTGTTCTGAATTACAAAGAGCAAACTACTTGTTCACCTGCGTGGCATATTTTCTTTCTCTGGCAATGCAATGTGTGGACTGATCAAATGTGAACTATGCGTGATTTCACATTACGCCACAGCATTCAGTCCTAGGTCCAAATAGTAAAGTTAACGCCAAAGTATTTAGTCCTAGGCCCAAATAGGTAAAGCTAATCCTGGCCACAGGACAAAGGCGAGAAAAGCATTGCCGGAAAAACGAATTGAGGATTCACCTTGAAAGTTAGAAATCCACAAAGAAATGTTGGAGCTGTTTGTCTGTAGCATAGAACTAGGCTGGGTTGAATTAATTTAAAATCATAGAATCATAGAGTTGGAAGAGACCTCATGGGCCATCCAGTCCAACCCCCAACCAAGAAACAGGAAAACTGCATTCAAAACACCCCGACAGATGGCCATCTAGCCTCTGTTTAAAAGCCTGGATTTTAAAATCAGTAGTGAACTGGCCAAGTTGGCCTCATTATCTGAACATCTTCCTTTCAAAGTGAAGCAGGTGTTTCCTGACCCTTTGCTTCTGACATTTTAATTCATGAGCTTGCACCCTCCTCCAGATCTGCAACCACTTCTTGGAACAGGGCTGGACGCTGCTATTACCAAGACAAGATTGCCTCAGAGGCCTGTTGTTGTAGGACTATTCTTCCTCATCTTCAGTCCAATGAGGCCTTCGCTGGGTGACAATCCTGAGCAGTGGCTATGGGTGCATCTATATACTGTAAAATGAATGCTGTCTGACACCACTTTGACTGTCATGGCTCATTGATCCAGCTCTTCTATAAATATTCCTGCATGGCAGGGAGTTGGACTGGGTGGCCCTTGTGGTCTCTTCCAACTGTAGGATGCTATGTTTCTATGAAGTCCAAAACACTTCTGATCCCAAGAATTTGGGACATTCAGCCTGTATTTAATATTGTCATTGTATTTTATATATTTGTATACAATTGCTGGCTGTCCACAGCTCCTGAAATCACCTGAGAAAGGTATTCAGTGATAGCGTCTAATTCAGAGCTTTTCAAACTGTGTCATAACACATTAATGTAACAAGAAACTTCTGAGTCTATGTGAAATAAGCAATAAATCACATATATTTAAAAACATCAATGTGCCTCCAACCATTGAGGTATATGTCTATATCTCTTATAAGGCATTGGTTTAACCCAGCGGTTCCCAACCTGTGGTCCATGGAACCACCAGTGGTCCACAAGAATTAAAATATGGTCCACAGCCTCACCGTTACTACACCATTGCAACAAGAGACTGTTCTCGCAAACGTACCAAATAGTGTTGAGGTTTATTAAATATGGTGTTCTGTGGGTGAGCAGATGGTGACTACTGGATGGCATATGTTCTGTATCAGAAACTAGAGCTGATGTGGACTATCCAACGCAATTTTCTGAATCAGCACCACAAATAATCAAACCAAATCTACAGTTGACCAAAAACTAATTTGTAACAGATTCATTTCCTGGAAACATACTGCAAGCTAGGAACTAATAGTGAAGGGACCAAGACCAGTCCATGAACTATCACTTTCATAGAATCATAGAGCTGGAAGAGACCTCATGGGCCATCCAGTCCAACCCCCTGCCAAGAAGCAGGAAAACTGCATTCAAAGCACCCCTGACAGATGGCCATCCAGCCTCTGTTTAAAAGCTTCCAAAGAAGGACCCTCCACCACACTCCGGGGCAGAGAGTTCCACTGCTGAAGGGCTCTCACAGTCAGGAAGTTCTTCCTAATGTTCAGATGGAATCTCCTTTCTTGTAGTTTGAAGCCATTTTTCCACGTCCTAGTCTCCAGGGCAGCAGAAAACAAGCTTGCTCCCTCCTCCCTATAACTTCCTCTTATTTATTTATACATGGCTGCCATGTCTCCTCTCAGCCTTCTCTTCTTCAGTCTAAACATGCCCAGCTCTTTCAGCCACTCCTCATAGGGCTTGTTCTCCAGACCCTTGATCATTTTAGTCAACCTCCTCTGGACACATTCCAGTTTGTCAATATCTCTCTTCAAGTGTGGTGCCCAGAATTGGATACAATATTCCAGGTGTGGTCTCACCAAGGCAACATTGCTCTAGAAGTGTGATTCTAACCTTTGGCCCATGGACCACCAGTGGTCCACATGAAATAAAATATGATCTGCGGCCTCACCATTACTACACGTTTGCAACAAGAACGACTGATCTCACAAACCCCCTTATAGTGCCAAGGCTTATTAAATATGGTTTTCTGTGGGCAAGCAGATGGCGACTACTGGATGGCATATGTTCTGTATCAGAAACTAGAGCTGATGTGGTCTATCCAATGCAATTTTCTGAATCAGCACCCCAAATAACCCAACCAAATCTAAAGTTGACCAAAAACTGATTTGTAACCCTTTTGGTACTAATTTGGAGAGTGGTCCCTGGACAAAGTGGTTCCTGGTCAAAAAAAGGGTGGGAGCTACTGGTTTAACCTTTCGTTTGCTAGTAAATCTGAATTACTGTGTTAGAAAATCATGCATGTCTAAAAAGTGTGTTTGGAAATCTCTGGTCTATAATTACTATTTGGCTGCAATCTCAGCCTCAATACACAAGATCTCCTCCTTTAGCTCCTCCCACTTTATAACTTCTCAGTTCAAGTGTAAAGTCCTCTGTGTGTACTCCTTCCGGTGCTTTAAAGCCCAAGGAATTAAAAAGCCCTCTGAAGACAGTTTCCAGGAATCTGGGCTAAAAGGGCCAATCAGGACAAGAAACTCATTCTTTTCTGCAGAACCGAGCTGAAAAAGGGTAAATTTTATGGCTTGATGACACAAAGTAAAGGGAAATGTAATGTTCTCCTTGGTGGTCATACTTTTCTCTCTCTTCTGTTACTTCTTTGTCAAAGGAATTGTTGATCAACTCTGCAAATCTCAGTTTCCCAAAAGTAACTGGTTTCTCTCTCTTGAGAAATGGGGTTTTCAGAGCTCCAGACCGAATTGGAGTAGGAAGCGATTTCCAACCAATAGGATTGCTTTATGCAAATTTCAGCAGAGAGATGGGGAGGGGGATTAGAACGCGAAGGGACTTGTGTTTTGAGGTCCATGGGTGGCTCTCCACTGTACAATTAATGCAGTTTGAGACCGCTTTAACTGCCTTTGTTCAATGGAGTGGAATTATGGGAGCTGTAGTTTTGCATAGCCTGCAACCTTCTCTGACAAAGAACGCTGGAGCATCACCAGACTACAACTCCCAGGGTTCCATAGCACTGAGCTGAAACAAAGTGATGCCAGACTGTATTAATACAAGTAGCATATCCCTTATTCTAAATGAATGGGATTAGAAGTGCTTTGTATTTTGGAATATTTGTATTTCAATATATCTCTATAATCTATCATAAGTTATTTATTTATCATGTCATCCGCAACCAGAACATTGTATTACATTTCTAACAGAACAAAACAAACAAACAGATTAAAAAAATAAAAAAATATCATAATATAATATAATAATATATATTATCTTTATAATCTATATTATATTTATATAATAAGATATATAATGGCGCTTCATGCAGTCATGCCAGCCACATGACCTTGGAGGTGTCTACGGACAATGCCGGCTCTTGTAAAGCAGCCCTGTTGAAGGCTTTCATGGCTGGCAAACCAATATTATTATTATTGTTATATCCATTATAATATGATAATTAAGGGAGGACATCAGGGAATTATTACTATTATTATATTGTTGAAAGCTTTCATGGCCGGCAAACCATTATTATTATTAATATTATTATTATTATCATACCTAGCTTTCCTCTCTTTATTGATATATTATAAACAATGTAATAATATATATAGAAATAATCACAATTAAATTTACCTGGGAATTTTCAGATACTGTTTATATTTAATCCTGTTGTAATGCGTGTATATTTGTACTATTTTTTGAGCCCCTGGTGGCGCAGTGGGTTAAACCGCTGAGCTGCTGAACTTGCTGGCTGAAAGGTCGCTGGTTCAAATCCAGGGAGCGGGGTGAGCTCCCACTGTTAGCCCCAGCTTCTGCCAATCTGGCAGTTTGAAAATGTGCAAATGTGATTAGATTAATAGATACTGCTCCGGCGGGAAGGTAACAGGGCTCCATGCAGTCATGCTGGCCACATGACCTTGGAGGTGTCTAAGGACAATGCCGGCTCTTTGGCTTAGAAACAGAAATGAGTACCAACCTCCAGAGTCAGACACGACTTGACTTAATGCCAGGGGAAAACCTTTACCTACAACTTACACTATAGTAATGTAATAATATGATAATTGTATATTAGATATTACATATAATATTACTGGTAATATTGCAGTATAATGTGTTATTTTAATGTAGACGTAAATTTGTTTTTGGAATTTGGGGGTTGGGGGGGTTGGATATTTTTGTCTTCGTTCAGCTTCTCACGGCATTGAATGTTTGCCAATATTTGTTGTAAACCACCTGGAGTCCCCTCAGGGAGATAGGGCGGGATAGAAATAAAGTTTATTATTTATTTATTCTGTATTGCAGACCAGGTTTAGCTTCATATAAAGGCATATTTGCAGCAGGTTTCAGAGACCTGTTCTTGGATATAGTCACATTGAGAAAATAGAGGATACTTTGAGACTTCATTGTAAATTCAATCCCTCCTTTATCTGTCCTGATAAAAGTAGCCCAAGATAAATGCTTCAAAATTGACCTAGACACTCAAAACTTCCTTTCTCGGTTCCTTCCTTTGGTCTTCACAAACCTTTACCATTTTTGTAGCTCTTTCCGCTTGAATGTTTTCTCCTCCTGATCCTCTTTCTCCTTTATAATAATTATCTAACTTGTTCCATCTGACAAGCATTAATATGGACATAGATTGAGTCAATTATTTTCAGACATTTAATGTTAACCATTTGCTTAATGAATTTCCGGGTGTGTGAAATGGCGGAGAGACGGGCACTATAGCCTCTGAGAGAGAGTGCCGCCTCAGTTTACGGCTGGGTAGAGCAAAAGCACAAAGTAGCTGCACACAATAACATCCTGTGGAAATTTACTGGCAGCACATGGGGTACAGACCCAAAATTAATAAGAACATCAGCCCTGGCCTTGTCTTACTCAACTGCTGAGTATGCCTGCCCTGTTTGGTATAAGTCTGCACATGCAAAGCAGGTGAACATAGCATTGAACGAAGCATGCCGAATAATCACAGGATGTCTTAAACCTACACGTGTTGATAAACTCGACTCCAATTCCCAGAAGTCCTGGGCAGCTTGTCCAATGCTCAGGAATTGTGGCAACTGAAATCCAAAACACCTAGAGGACCGAAGATTGGATACTAGTGGTCTGCACTATGTTTTCATTTCACACCTTGTAGCCTCCTCCCAACATCTACCGTCTCTTTTTTATCAAACGGGAGGGCTGATCTTGTAGCGTTGAGTGTCTAAGTAATAAGTATAGAAGAACTGATGGATATTAAAAGATCTTGATCTAGTATCCCAAGTGAGTTCTACTGAATGGAGTTCAATTCTTACCTCTTAGGGTCCTTCCACACAGCCATATAATCCAGAATATTAAGGCAGAAAATCCCTCAATCTTTGAACTGGATTATCTGAGTTCACACTACTATATATTTCAGTTCAAAGAAGAAAATGTGGGATTTTATTCAGTGGTGTAGAAGGGGCCTTAGAAATGTTAAATAACCATCCTGATTAGACCTTCCTTAACTGATTTTATAATTAAACCACTACGACTGAGACAAAATATTATTGAAAGTATAACGTTACTAACATCACATTCATTAAAAAGATTTTTTGTATGATGGTGTATATGTATATATTACAGAGGATGGAAGAACAGGAGCTTCCTTATACACTAATAAATGTTATAGGAGGTCTCGATGGAGTATATGAAGACCACGTGGAGTTTCTGGAGAAACATCTGAAGCTCATCACTATGAAGGAATTTCTTGAAAACAAGGAAACTCTTCGTCATAAAATCCAAGCGGTGTTCCTATGGTTCCACAAGCCCGTGATTAACAGGGAGCTTCTACAGATTTTGCCTAACTTGAAGGTGATTGTAAACTCTGGTGCTGAAATAGATCACCTGGACCTAAAGTTGATTTTCAGCTTTGGTGTAAAACTAGCTAACACTCCATTAGCAGTTACCAACGCTACAGCAGACCTTGGAATGGCTTTGATGCTGGCTTCTGCTAGGAGAATTGTGGAAGGTACAACTCTGTCTTATAATTACCATTGGATAAATATCTTGCTAGTGAGTTTGCTTGATCATGTATGGCTTTGGTGTATGGTTAAAGACTGCACAATAACCAGCAGACTTTAGACAGCTAATTTGTACGAAACATTTCCTATTAGATCTAGCCTAAAATACATTGAGTTTTGAATTTTTTTACAGCATTAGTATTGTCTTTGGATTGTTTGTATGCTACAAGTACCTAATTACACAGACCCTACTAATTAGAATGGTCATGTGTTGAAAGCCTTACATAAAACTTATTTGTAGGTTGTAAGCAGAATGCAGATGTGGATCAGAGAACAGCTGGTTTCACTAGTAAAGACCTGCCAAAACCTGTTTTATATTATTTGCATTATACAATGTTTATGATGCAGATACTGATGCACTGATTACAATGCCATGTAAACTAGGTCAGGATGTGTATTAAATAAACATGGTACCCACACAGGCACCCCAGGAACCAGCTGGGATGTTGGCTACAAAATTTTGCTAATTTTGGATCAATATGTAATTTTTCCCTCCCTATCTGGTGGGATGCACTGATGGGAATGTCCTGTCCAATGAAGATCAGTGATGGGCAAAACCAGGGCAGAGGAACAAAGGGAAAGAGCATTCGTTTGGGTACGCTGCAGTTTCCTCTCCAGGTTGAAGTGTTTGTTTACTTTCTGTTTGAGCTGTGTGTGCATGGGATTTCTTCCCCTAGATGCTTCAGCACTAGGCCTGTCTTCACAAGCCAATATGTTTATATTGAAATTTTGGCAGAATAAGATCAACTTTACCTCTCAGTGTGGAGAGACAGATATTCCAACCTACAGGTCATTGACAAAATTATTGAAGAGTGTCAGTAGCAAGGCAGAAGTCAAGGGCATTCCACTTTTGACTTCCCTCCAATCTGAACTGCAACTATTGATGATGACTTTTAGAAAACAGTTTTCCAGCTAATTTTATGATGCAGAAAACCTAGTTGTATCTCATTCTCAACAAACACTTGCTTTATCCTCAGCACATGTTTTAGATCCAGGTTTTACACTCAGTCAAATCCTGGTATCACGTAAGAGTGCAGATAAATTATAACTAAGTTCTGACTTACATGGATCTCCTCAAAACCTCAAACCTGTCTCTCGCTATTGCATGGTTCAGAGGCCCTTAGTGTGAAGGAAGTAGTGAGTTAATCAGACAGTATTTCTATGGCAAGAAAGGAGTTTAAGGGTGCATTTACACTTAGAACTAATGTGGTTTGACACCACTTTAACTGTCATGACTCAGTGCTATGAAATGATGGGATTTGTGTTGGGGAATCAAAAATAACCCCCAGTAAGGGTAATTCTACCAAAATATAGCAGAGTACTAGGAGTAAACTCCATAACCAGCAGAAACTTACGTGTGGTGAGAAGTGATAGCCTTCTAATCTTTAGGATGGTTCAGGATTGCAGAGTCAGAACTTTGGGCTTAAAATATTTATTAAAGTAAAAAAATAAATACATTCTTGATAGGAAAGGCCTTGGAGCTAACTAGTTTACCTAATCTCATCTTCTAAAGAAGGTAAAAAGTTAAAAAGTCCATGCAGCTACATTTTGCCTACAGAGAGGCAAAATGCATCCTCACAGGGAGAAAGAAAAGCAGAAGAGGAATGGTGGAGACCACATGGCCTTCCCAGGGCAGTTCAAACTTAAAAAGAAGTTTCCCCCATAGAATTCCATTATTATGTTATCAAAGTGGGGGAACACAGTGGCTAGCAGTAAAGACAAAGAGCATTCATAGGAATGTTGGGGAAAGGAATCCCTGAACTTAGCCATGTCTCTAGTCTAGCTACTCATTGACGACTAGAAACTTTATGACACAAAGACTTGTGCAGTCCAGGTAGGAAACTCAACAATTTATAGTTTGGTGAAGCTCTAGCACTCTTTGACAGAAAAGGCTACAGACTGTGTAAAGCTACAAATCCCACAAGTTCAAAGCATTGAGCCATATCAGCTATAGTGATGTCAAGCTGCATTGATTCTACAGTATAGATGCACCCCAACTCAGGCACTGGATAAAACAAGGCATTTCAGTAGAATGCAATTTGGAACGTTTTACCTTTATGAGCACATAAAGCTTCTATCATTCAAGTCGTCTGAGTACAGGAATAATATCATTGTTTATTTCAGGTTATCAGATTTCAGTTTCTCCTGACACTAAACATTTTAAGGCTGACTGGCTGGGAGAAGAAGTAACTGGTGCAACTCTGGGGATCATTGGAATGAGCACCATCGGTTATAAGGTAGCCCAGAGAGCCAAAGCCTTTGAAATGAAAATCCTTTATCATAACAGGAACCGGAGGTAAAAATTCATCTCTAATCAGCTTGATCTTACACTGAACTTAATTTCACTGGGGACTTTTCTAAACTGATTTCACTTTTCTGCCACTTTCAGCATTAACTGTTTCTCTTTTATTGATTCAGGCCCATTTCAGTTAAACTATTATTTCCTTTGCTTGATCTGTCAGGAATGTGAGCCTGACTTCCATGAGCATGCTTAAGGGCAGTTATTACCTGGAAAAGTAATGTAATATTTGGTTTTAGGAATATACAATATAAGCATAGGTCAAAGTATAGGAGACACAAGTCTCAAATAATATCTTTACCTGCACTATTTTAATAAGAGTGTAATACAATATGCCCTGGAAGATCATGGTTTAACCAATGCACATCCTGCAAAATATGTATTTATTTACAGTATTTATACCCCGCCCTTCTCACCCCAAAAGGGACTCAGAGCGGCTTTACAGTACACATATATGGCAAACATTCAATGCCGAATGTACAATTAACAAGGACACAAAACCCAAAGGACATATAACACAAAGAAAGGTAAAGGCAGTTTTTCCCATCTTAATTCCGGCATCTTGGAGGTTGTGCTTGACTCCTGCCACAGGGGGGTGCTGTCACTCCATCTTCCATGCCAAAGAGCTTTCCTCCAATCGATGTCCTTAAGGGCAACTTTATTACCTTCCCAGCTAAAGGCAGTATCTATTTTATCTACTTGCATTTCTGCTTTCAACCTGCTAGGTGGGCAGGTGAGCTGGGGCTAACGGCTGGTGCTCACCCCAACCCGGGCTCGAACTGTTGACCTTCTGATCTTCAGGATTTTTCTGCAGCACAGCTGTGCTACATCTGGCCCCTTTATTTAGGTCCGCCAAAGAATTATGTGGTTTGCCCCTGCTGGAAGTTACCATAGAGTCACACTGGCAAATTCTAGAGAAGGTATATCTCTAGGAATTTTCTAGGCCTTCCAGTTCATATCTGTGTTAAAGCTCTATGAGAATCATTAATTTCAATAGCATTTGCTGTTATCCGTATTTTTCTCGTTCTATGGCATATCCAAGAACCCCATAAATACTGGGATCATAGTGTAAAGCTAAATTTGAAAATTAACATAATTTAGGCAAACAAAGGGAATGTGTAGGCATTTTAATGGGTATTTTTCAAGTTTTAATACTTTTTAGTAATCACAAGAATACTAGAGGATTAATGAGTAGCATAGTATACTATTCACACTGCAATGGCACATGGTACGACTGATATGCATATCATGTTCAGTTTTCTTTGTCCTTTTAGTCCATGTCCTTTTGAAATCCTGAATCTCATCGAGTGGTTTCACATAGAAAATAAGTCGCAACTGAGATATTCTTTATGTTGAAACTTTAACTTGAGCTAAAAATTTGCCTCTTGCAGAAAAGAAGTTGATGAACAGGCGGTTGGGGCTCATTATTGTCCCAAGATGGAAGAGTTACTCCGACAATCTGATTTTGTGATGTTGGTTGTCAACTTAACGCCTCAAACACAGAAGCTGATTGGGGAAAAGGAGCTCAAACTCATGAAACCCACTGCTACTCTGATCAACATCTGTCGAGGTAGGAGGCAATACTGCTGTGGCACTCATTATAACCACACATTCATTCATGGTGAGAAACCTATCGCAGCTGTGAACAGATCAGTAAAATATGCTTGGAAAGGTGGTATAAAATGCAGCACACTTGATTCTGTACACACTTAGGGTACTGTGCTAAAGATCTGCCAGTCTAAGGGTTATAACAGGGAAAATAATTGTATGGCCTTCCCAGTTTTCTCCAGATTGGCTGCCATGGCTTCACTCTTTCTGTTACTGGATAGTTCTCTTCTTCAGCACTTCCTGGGATTGCTGGATAGTAGCTAATGAGAATCTGAAAGGCCATCTAAAACATTTGTGCTGTCTTTCCTCCACCTCTTGAGTATGTGTTGGAGCTGCGGTGACACAGTGGGTTAAACACTTGTGCTGCTGAACTGCTGACCTGAAGGTTGGCAGTTCGAATCCGTGAGATGAGGTGAGCTCCCATCTGTCAGCTCCAGTTCCTGCCAACCTAGCAGTTTGAAAACATGCAAATGTGAGTAGATCAATAGGTATCACTTCCACAGGGAAAGGCAAAGAGCAGTCCAAGCAATCTTACGAATCACACAACCAGGGAGTGACAATGCAGGCTCCTCAAATTGAAAATGGAGAAAGCATCTTCTCAGAGCCAGAGATGAGCACAGCCTCCAGAAATAAAAGAAGCCTTTGCCTTTGTTTGTGTGTCTCATTGTATATGATTGTAAAGACATTGAATGTTTGCCTATGTATGTAAATGTAATCCGATCTGAATCCCCTAGGGGAGAAGGGGAGAATATAAATAAAGTATAGTAGTAGTAGTAGTAGTAGTAGTAGTAGTAGTAGCAATTCTGCCAGTATGTTGTCCCTGATTGGGATATTTAGTAACAAAGTAATTATATTGCAATGACAGAAAGCTGTTATGGGTATGCATAACCACTGTTTTGTTCATGTGTTTATGTGCATGCATGTCTATAAACATTTAGTGATTCATCCAAAAGTAATCTGCAGAGTTGAGCAATATTATCATGTGTTTTGGAGTATGTCTGATAAGATCTGTAGGAAGATGTTGAATCTACTGAAGTCTGCAATTAAATCAACAACTGTGTTGTTGAAGGCTTTCAAAACCAGAATCACTGGGTTGTTGTGAGTTTTCCGGGCTGTGTGGCCATATTTCAGAAGCATTCTCTCCTGACATTTCACCTGCATTTATGGCCCCCATGTAGTAAGAAGCCAGACCTTGAAACTGCTAGGCCATTAAATGCCAATCAAGGGGGCCAATTGCAGCAGTCACCCTTACCTCAAACAGACAAAAAATCTTTCTTCCACTTTGGATATTCCACAGATATATAAACCCCATTTCCAAGTTTCCAACATACCCAAACCTCTGAGGATCCCTGCCATAGATGCAGGCAAAACGTCAGGAGAGAATGCTTCTAGAACATGGCCACACAACCCAGAAAACTCACAACAACCCAAATCAACAGCTGTCACTTTCCAAATCAATACAAATACACCAATCCTGCCTACGCTGCCATATAAAATCCGGATTATCTGATTTGAACAGGATTATATGGCAGTGTGGACTCATATAATCCAGTTCAAAGCAAATAATGTGAATTATCTGCTCTTATAATCAGGATTATATGCAGTATAGAAGGGGCCTATGATTCAGAAAAGTCTTTTGTCAGAAGAAACCTGACACTTGGTTAATCTTGAAAACCTTCTGTGTTGTGATGTCTCCCCTTGATGAGGAAGATAATTTTACACATAGTGATGAAACTAGAGGGGCTAAATATTGCAAGATAAGGGAATTTGTGATTATCCAGATGTTGTTGGCCTATATAGGTCTCAGCAACCCTAGCTGATATAGGTACCGGTGAGCAAAGATGTGAGAATATGAGTACAACCATGCACCCCCCCCCCCACCCCAAGATATTGGACATCAGTTATGGTTTGGTGAAAACCTGTTAGTAGAATCTTAAAGTTTTTATTTTCTATTTTGTAATTAAGTACTGTATACTGGTTCAGGAAAATTATTTTGTTTTTGGTTGTTGTTTTTTTTCAATTTAGGCCAAGTGGTTGATCAAGATGCCCTGGTGAATGCACTCCAGAATGGAGTTATTAAGGCTGCAGCTTTGGATGTGACCTATCCTGAGCCATTGCCAAGGTAAAAAAATTGTTCAGGGTGAAATGCTTAAGTAGCAATACAATCCATTTTGGTCTATGAATGTTTTGGCTCTGCTACTACGTCCGCGGCGTAAACTGTACCAAAATATGTTCAGACTCACTTCCAACACATCAATATAATCCCAGCCCAGAATTATTTCAAGAAGAGATAGCTGGCTATTTACTCCAAAACAATACAGATGTGTTTTGTTGACCTGGAATTATTTTTTGCTAAACTGCATAAAATATTGAATACAGTGTGATAAGTGCTTAACTTTCCTCAGTTAGATCAGTAATGTTTCAGAGTGTTTATATTGCCAATATCTTTTTTTATTTTGTGTCAAAAGCATTGCATCAATAAGTATAAAGCTGATAAAATAAAGGAACACAAGTGACTAAATATTTTTAGAAAAAATAGGCAACCGCAACTGCATTGTATTGTCGAAGGCTTTCATGGCCAGAATCACTGGGTTGTTGTAGGTTTTCTGGGCTATATGGCCATGTTCTAGAGGCATTTTCTCCTGACGTTTCGCCTGCATCTATGGCAAGCATCCTCAGAGATAGTGAGGTCTGTTGGAAGTAGGAAAATGGGTTTATATATCTGTGGACTGCCTTTTCTAGATGTCCTAGTCATCCGCAAACCAGATCAACAATTGGGTCACACCGTTTACAGAAAACCCACACACACAGATAGATATCTACATAAAATCTCCAACCATCACCCAAGTCAAAAAAGAAGCACCATTAAAGCCTTGGCAGACCATGCAAAAAGAATCTGCGAACCCCACCTCCTCCAAGATGAACTGAACCACCTCAACTGGGCTCTACAGGCCAATGGATACTCCACCTCAGACATCAGAAGAGCTGCAAGACCGAGAACAAGCCACGAGAGTAAAGATGAAGATCCACCCAGAGGAAAAGTGTTCTTGCCATACATCAAGGGAACCACTGACCGCATAGGAAAACTGATGAGGAAACACAACATACAAACCACTTACAGACCCACCAAGAAAATCCAACAAATGCTACGTTCAGCAAAGGACAAGAGGGATCCTCTCACCTCTGCAGGAGTCTACCGTGTACCATGCAGCTGTGGACAAGTCTACATAGGGACCACCAAATGCAGCGCCCAAACACGAATCAAGGAACATGAAAGGCACTGCAGACTACTTCAACCAGAGAAATCAGCCATAGCAGAGCACCTTATGAACCAACCTGGACACAGCATTTTATTTGAGAACACAGAAGTGCTGGACCACTCTCACAACCACCATGTCAGACTACACAGAGAAGCCATTGAAATCCACAAGCATGTGGACAATTTCAACAGAAAGGAAGAAACCATGGAAATGAACAAAATCTGGCTACCAGTATTAAAAAACTCAAAAATTACAACAGCAAAACAACAGAGGGGAAACAAACAGGCACATAAAATCACTCTCAACAAGGGATTCCCCCCGGGCACTTCTAAGCCTTTGAATGCTAATCAAGGTGATCAGCTGAAACATTCACATCTAGCCCCAGCAAACAAAAGTCCTTTGTCTCACCCTGGTCATTCCACAGATATATAAACCCTTTTTCCTACTTCCAACAGACCTCACTACATCTGAGGATGCTTGCCATAGATGCAGGCGAAACGTCAGGAAAAAAAACTGCTTCCAGAACATAGCCATATAGCCCGGAAAAACCTACAACAACCCAGCAACTGCATTGTCTGTAGCTTTAAATAATTCTTCCTCGATGCATGAGGCAGGGCATATTGGGCTCTGATAATCAGGATTATATGCAGTATAGAAGGGGCCTATGGTTCAGGAAAGTCTTTTGTCAGAAGAACCCTGACACTTGATGAATCTTGAGAACCTTCTGTGATGTGATGGCTCCACTTGATGAGGAGCTGTTTGTTTTGCTCCAGTTGCACAGGGTGGAAGATTCTTCTAGGCCGTGCCATTTTGCCAGCTTGTCTTTTGATCTGCCAACTCCACTTTTGAGTTTGTTCAGGGACTTCCAAGTTGCCCATTCTTTTTATACATGGTTTTTATTGTGACTTTTATATACAATATAATAATATGACAAAAATGTGGATTGTGGAGTAGGGTGGGGGTTAGCATTAAAAAGAAGAGAGAGAGAGAGAGAGAGAGAGAGAGAGATAGCCCTTCTATCTATCCATCCATCCATCCATCCATCCATCCATCTATCTATCTATCTATCTATCTCTCACTAAGGGAATTTGGAAATTGCCCATTCTTTGGGTCCGAAAGATTAGCTTTTCCCATTTACTCAGTCTTTGAGGGGGCTCTTTTCATGTCCTCCGCTAATATCTAAGATACACAGACTATACCTATGCACTTAATTAACTTAGTGAACTTTGAATTCAGATTTTCAATATCTTTCAAATTTTTATACAAAACTGATATCTCTTGTCTTTTGCATGCTAAGTATCATAACAGACTAGGTTGAACACATACTTTAAAAAAATCCCCCAGTAAGAAAAAATATCAATTTAATTCACATTTTTATTGGATTAAAAAAAATCACTCATTCCATTTACGTCTTGCCTTTCTCTCAGCACGAGATCAAAAAAGAAAACTCCCAGAAAGAAGAAAAACTTTCAATTTAATGTACAAAGCTATTACTGGAATTTATTTATTCATTAATCTGTTCAATTATATCTTGCCTTTTTCCCAGCATGGAATCCAAAGCATCTTACAATATGGATTAAAACAATTTAAATAAATAACAAAAAAGAGTTTAAAACCATGTCTCATATAGTAGATCATTACGGTGTTATTGTAGGACTGGAGGAAATGTCATTACAGTAGAGCAGGGGTCCTCAAACTTTTTAAACAGAGGGCCAGGTCACAGTCCCTCAAACTGTTGGAGGGCCGGATTATAATTTGAAAAAAAATTGAATGAATTCCTATGCACACTGCAATACCTTATTTGTAGTGCAAAAAAAAAAACCCACTTAAAAACAATACTATAATTAAAATGAAGAAAAATTTTAATATAAACTTATTAGTATTTCAGTGAGAAGTGTGGGCCTGCTTTTGGCTGATGAGTTAGTATTGTTGTTGCTGTTGAGTGCTTTCAAGTCGTTTCAGACTTAGGTTGACCCTGAGCGAGGGCCGGGTAAATGGCCTTGGAGGGCGGTATCTGGCCCTCGGGCCTTAGTTTGAGAACCTCTGCAGTAGAGTCTTGCTCATCCAACATTCTGTATTATCCAACGCAGTCTGCCTCCCACCTGGATCCACAGCTGTTTCAATACATTATGATGTTTTGGTGCTAAATTTGTAAATACAGTAATGACTGCATAACTTTACGGTGTATTAAACTGCTTTTTCTGTCAATTTATTGTAAAACATGATGCTTTGGTGCTTAATTTGTAAAATATAACATAATTTGATGTTTTCCTTAATCCCTTCTTATTATCCAACATTTTCACTTATCCAATATTCTGCTGGCCTGTTTATGTTGGATAAGCAAGACTCTACTGCATTTACTTTCCAGAAAGATGTTTGTGAGTAAAGTAACACAATATTTAGCATAGATTGCAATGCTGAACTTATTTTTTATAAGAGGAAAGTAGAGAAACATTAGCATGAATTACATTTGGCTTTAAGTTGCTCCCATGCATTTTCAGAACTGAAATAGTGTGTTATGCTTCACTGAGAGCTTATGAAGATCCCTGGTTTGTTTTCCTTCCAGAGACTATCCTTTGCTGCAGTTAAAGAACGTGACAATAACACCTCACATTGGAAGTGCAACTTCACAAACCCGCTTCCTTATGATGAGAAACATGGTTGAGAGCATCTTAACCGCTGTGAAAGGCCTCCCTGTCCTGAATGAAGTCCAAGGGTGACAAGCTGCATATGTGTTCTGTGTACGGTCATCTGTATCTGCATGAGATTTTACATTGAAAAGTTATACGCTGATTTTTCTTTTCATTGGGCAACAGAATCTCACATTCCTCAGAAATGTAAAAGATAACATGAATAAACAGCACTTTTTTGTTTGTTCCTTTTATTGTATTCTTCCATTATTCCATAGAGGGCTGTTAAACGAGACAGGAAATCGATACGGAAAATTAAAAAAAAAAGATATATAGTAGCATCCTTTCCACATCTGTAGGATCAGTAACCACTGTTTCATTTACCTGCATTTGGTAAAATATATTCCCTCCAGGCATTTTCAAGGAAATTCATTCAGGTGATACTGTGGTATGCTTCTGCCAGAAGTCATTCAATCAATAAGGTCTGATATTATCTGCAGTTTCACATAGCCACATAAAATCCCAGAATGGACACAGAGACAGATAGGGCCATACCCTTTTTGTTATCATTTCTCACTTTAAAACCTTGTGCATAAAGAAAAGATCTGCTGCTGGGAACCAGAGAATCAAATAAATGTCCTGCCAAGCATTTCAGTATGAAACATTCACACCTAGCTCCAGCAGACAAGAGTCCTTTGTCTCACCCTGGTCATTCCACAGGTATATAAACCCTTTTTCCTAGTTCCAACAGACCTCACTACCTCTGAAGATGCTTGCCATAGATGCAGGCGAAACGTCAGGAGAGAATGCCTCTAGACCATGGCCATATAGCCCGAAAAAACCTACAACAACCCAGTGATTCCGGCCATGAAAGCCTTCGATAATACATTTCAGTATTGTTCCTAAAAGTGCCCTTTACAAATTTTACATTAAGTCCTATTGAGTCCAACTCTGGGAGTTGGTGCTCATCTCCATTTCTAAGCCAAAGAGCCGGCGTTGTCCGTAATAATAAATAATAAACTTTATTTATACCCCGCCACCATCTCCCCAACGGGGACAACATATTACAGCAAGATAAAACCAAAACATAAGCAACAAGCAACAGCATTAATTACATTAAAAAGAAAAATACCATATGAATACAGTAACAAAATAACATTACAATAAACACAATCACAGTGACAGTGGGCGGGCCACATGTGCAGGATAAAATGTTAAAAAACTCGAATGAGATAAGAATAGGAGCAAGGTATTTGCAGGGAGCTCATAAAGAAGGTTGTGAAACTAAACTTCCCATCAAGGGGGGGGGGGGCTGTAGACCGCTTTGAGTCTCCCCAGGGGTGAGAAAGGCAGTATATAAATACTGCAAATAAATAAATAATAGACACCCAAGGTCATATGGCCGACATGACTGCATGGAGTGCCGTTACCTTCCCATCAGAGCAGTACCTACTGATCTACTCACATTTGCATGTTTTCGAACTGCTAGGTTGGCAACAGGAGGAGCTCCCACTGCTCCCCGGATTCGAACCTGCGACTGTTTGATCAGCAAGTCCAGAAGCTAAGTGGTTTAACCCACTGTGCCACCAGAGGGAGAGGGGCTTTAAAAACTCTAAAATCAGGACAGTAAATAAAGAAGAACACTCAGAAAAGAGGGGAATTCCAGACAGAAAACAATCAAGGCCAGCTCACACCTACCAACAAATGATTTCCCCCAGGCAGGAGGCAGCCAGGCTTTGAAGCTGCAAGGCTATTCAATGCTAATCAAGCTGGTAATGGCGCTCCATGCAGTCATGCCTGTGTCGCAAGCGCGTTTGGTGGGGACGAGGGGCAGGGCCTTCTCTGTGGCAGCCCCCCGACTCTGGAACTCTCCCCCCAAGGACATCAGACAAGCCCCAACGTTGGCAGTATTTAGGAAGAGCTTGAAGAACTGGCTGTTCCAGTGTGCCTTTCCAGAATAGGAAACTCCTGGCATCATGTCCCAAACGCACTTTGTTAGTTTTAGGATTGTCTGCACATTGCACCTACCCTTAAAATCCTTACATTTCAACTGTCATGTTCAGCACTCTTAATTTTATTCATTACATTTGGCCTGGTCTTTAGTTTTAAATGTGTCATTATTGTTTTAATGTTTTACTGTTATTGCTTTAATGTTTATTGTTTTGCTTTATGAGTTTTATTCTTGTATTTGTTATGCTGTTGTTTTATTGAGGGCCTTGGCCTTTGTAAGCCGCATTGAGACCTTCAGGAGATGTTAGCGGGGTATAAATAAAGTTAATAATAATAATAATAATAATAATAATAATAATAATAATAATAATGCCGGCCACATGAACTTGGAGGTGTCTACGGACAACGCCAGCTCTTCAGCTTAGAAATGGAGATGAGCACCACAACCCCCAGAGTCGGATACGACTGGACTTAATGTCAGGGGAAAACCTTTACCTTTAAATACCAGATTTTGTCCATTTTCATGGTTTATTGCTGGCTACTTGTAACATTCACACTTGCCTCAAGCAGACAAGAGTTATTTCTCCCACCCTGGACTTTTCTGCAGATATATAAGCCTCACTTGCCTAGTTTCCACCAGACCTCACAACCTCTGAGGATGCTTGCCCTAGATGTGGGCGAAAAGTCAGGAGAGAATGCTTCTCGAACATGGCCATACAAACTCACAGTAACCCAACGAAGCCTTGGACAACACAAGAGATCCAAATGAATGGGAAGGGAAGCTGCGCCTCGCGGCCACTAGGGGCGCTGTGCTGGCTGCCTCGGCAAGGAGGCCGAGTGGCCTGGCTTCCCGGGAGGAAGACACCGAGTAGGGGATCCTTCCATGTGGCTCCTCCGCCTCGCCGCGGGGGCTGAAGCCGCCTTTCCCTCCTCCTATTCCTCTTTCTCGCAGGGGGTGAGCCCGCTTCTCCAGACCGCAGGGGCCACAACCTGCCGGGGCGCCTCTTTCCGTGGCTTGGGCCTTTCCCCGGCCCCGCGCCCTTGCTGGAGGGCTCTGCACTGCTCCGAGGCCGCGCTTGCCGGCTCCAGGAACCCGCTCATGAAGTTCATCTCCAAGAAAAAGTAAGCGCCTTGGCTCTCCCTTCCCTTCCATCCCCAAAGACACAGCCCCAAGATCTGTCTACACTGGTCAGTTAATGCACTTCGATGCCTCTTTCACCGCCAGGGCGATGAAATTCTTTTTTGGGCAGAGATATTGCAAAACTACAACTATATAGGACCTCATCACACTAGAGCAGGCCTGGGCAAACTTCGGCCCTCCAGGTGTTTTGGACTCCAACTCCCACAATTCCTAACAGCCGGTAGGCTGTTAGGAATTGTGGGAGTTGGAGTCCAAAACACCTGGAGGGCCGAAGTTTGCCCAGGCCTGCTCTAGAGTGTAGGTGACAGATTTGGACATTCCTGACTGTAAGAGATGTTCACCAGTGGAACTCTCTGCCTCAGAGTGTGGTGGAAGCTCCTTTGGAAGCTTTTAAACAGTGGCTGAATGACCATCTCTCGGGGGTGCTTTGATTGTGCTTTTCCTGCATGGCAGAGGGTTGGACTAGATGGGCAATGTGGTCTCTTCCAGCTCTATGATTCTGTGATCTATACTTTCCTATGATGCAACTTGAAACTGCATTATATGGCCAGTGTAGACTCATATGATGCAATTCAATGTTGTTAGGAATTGTGGAAGTTGAAATCCAAAACACCTGGAGGGCCAAAGTTTGCCCATGTCTGGTCTGTACTGACCATATAATACAGTTTCAAGCTGCACCATATGGCAGTGTAGACGGGATCTGAGAGTCCACTATATAGAGAGAAACTGAGCGAATGAGATCCCTTGGAGATGGGACCCAAGTCTAAACACAACATCCTTTTTGTTTCTTATATACCTCATAGTCCAAAGTTAAAACTATACACAATATTTTGCATAATTTTGTCCATGAAGCAAAGTGTGGATACATTGAACCATTAAAAGGCAAAGTTGTCACTATCTCAGGCACTCAGTTAGATAACTAATATAACCCAGAATATCAAGGCAGAAAATCCCACAATATCTGCTTTGAACTGAGTCCACACTGCCATATATACCAGTCCAAAGCAGATAAAGTGGGATTTTATTCCGCTTTTGTGGAAGGGCCGAGAATAGCTTTCATGAAAAAGATGTTACTTTCATTAGAAATATTTAAGCAAATGCTAAATTGTTGTCTGTTCTAAAATAATATTTAATATTATGGATTTTATGGAGCAAAAGCATACACACACAGGACACTGTTTATTATTTCAACTGCTAAATGAATACCAAGAGTGGGTCCTTGGTATCCACTGGGGTTTGGTTCAGGAATGCCAAAATCCAAAGGTGCTCAAATCCTATTAAATGCAACGGCATATTAAAATAGTGCACATATTAGTGTACACATTTTCAAGCCATTGATGATTGGATCAATGGATGCCAAATTCATAGCTACAAAAGATCAACTGCAATGTAAATATATGTTTTCTTTTTTTCCCTAAAGGGGAAAGAAGAAGTTTTGGTATGAAAGTCCTGCTCTAAGCTCTCACCTGGTAAGCCTTTTTAATTTGAAACATTCCTCTTATTCTGTCAGTGTGCTGTTATTGATGGCTGCAGTGTTTGCGGTTCCTTTTTGTTGACACTTGTGTATTTTTAGTGTTTTATTTAAATCCCTAAACAGAAGAATCATAATGGAAAGTGAAAAACTTACGATCGCCAGTCATAAAAACTGTGACTCAAGGAGATTTACAAATTAAAATAAATACAACATAGTCACAAAATAAAAAATATATCAACATTAAAATAGAATTATAATTATTATTTTATTATTATTTATTTACTGTACAGTATATACTCAAGTATAAACCAGGGTTTTCAGCCCTTTTTTGACTCGAGTATAATTTATTATTTTAATAAATATTAATAATTTATTATTTTACTTAGTTATTATTATTATATTTATTATTTTTCTCTATTATTATTACATTTATTATTTTATTCTATTTATTATTGCTATTACATTTATTATTTTACTGTATTATTACTGTTATTATTACATTTCCATTATTTTACTCCATTATTATTATTATTACATTTATTATTTCACTCTATTATTATTACTACATGTACAGAAGTTGATTGTAAATGATATGATTATAACCGTATTTGTGTTTGCACTGGTTGCCCTAATGCTGGAGCGGCCTAGCTGTGAGGAGTGTGTTACCATGGAAACGATGCTGTAGAGAAGTGGGAGGAGTTTAGAGAGGAGAGTTTTGAAAAGCGACAGTTAAAGTCAGTTGGGGGTTTAGGCTCAGAGGAATGAAGAGTCAGGTTTTAGGCTCAGGGAAATGAAGTGTTGAGAGAGAGAGTGGGAAGTAGAGAAGCAGTGTTTGTGAATAGTCAGAGGTTTCTTCAGTTTAGGAAGGCTGAAGGGGAAACCTTATTAGTTTCATTAGTTAGAGAAGACTAATAGAAGCTTGTTTAGATCACTAGTTAAAAGTGAACTAGAGATCTGAGGTTTGATCACGGAAGGATCAAACAGGAAGACTATTCACCTCAGGAACCATTGTTTAATAAAGTGCTTCACCACAGCAAAAGTTATTGATAAGTTGTAACATCAGAAGTCTGTACTGTATCGCAACCAAGTTATATGTAACGTTCTCCAAGTATCTTCCAAGTTTATCACCAAACTGCAACCATACGCTTTGTTTCAAAATAAACTTGTTCTCTTTGATTTTAAGACTGCCTCATCTCCATTAATTCGGCGTTCAGTGTGCCCAATCTCCCAAAATTACCTCACATCACAAATTGGTGCACCATTAAGAATAATAAATAATAAATCGAAACTTCTCTCTCCTGAAACCCCTTTTCTTTGAATTGGGGCAAGCCCTTTTACATTTATTATTTTACTCTCTTTATTATTATTGGAAGGATACGTAAGCACATTTACATTGAAGAAGGTTAGAATAATGGTTTAATCAGAGTTGGACAGTTTTATCTTAAATTACAGTTTTATGTAAATATTCAAAAACATTTAACCTACTGATGCCCCAATTAATGTAATGTTATTTGTATCTATTTTTATTTTGAAATTTACCAGTAGCTGCTGCATTTCCCACCTTTGGCTTATGCTCGAGTCAATGTTTACCCAGGTTTTGTTGTAAAATTAGGTGCCTCGGCTTATATTCGGGTTGGCTTATACTTGAGTATATACGAGTATTTATTTTTATCCCGTTTTTCTCCCATGGGTGGGACTCAAAGCAGATTACAGCTATCCCTCCACATAGTATGTAGGAGATTTGTTTATTTATGGATACAAAAAATAGATTTTTTTGCAGTTTTCCACTTTCAGGGGGGCCCTTAGCCCCTAACCCCAGTTAAACCATTAACAACTCTACACATAATTCTGAAATGCAATTCGGATGTTAAAAAGCCATTTTTAAAACACTGCAATTTAAGCTCTTAAAAGTCACTCTCAAAAGTCATTCCCTTAAATCTTCAATTCTCAAAAGCCTATTGTATTTTTCAGTTATTTGCCAACAGATTAAGATGTTATTTTTCCTCCATAGGGAGTTCTATGCCATTGAGAAGGCACTCTCAGACATTCAAGGTTGAGTGTCTTTTATCTGGAATTCGAAAACCCAAAAATACTCCAAAATTGTCAACATTTTTGTGTGTGATAAGACAGGAATGTCCTATCTAATTTGAGCTGTAATTTATATTTTCGTTGAAGCCTTTCAAGAGATAAGGCTCAAGCTAGTTCGGCCAAATAATTTGTGCATGATGTTGGGGAGAGGGTAAATTCCATTATGTAACAAAATTTGAAAAAAAATCTGTTTCTAGTTTGAAAGTGTTATTTTCTGTTTAATTGTGCAGTACTTACTTTGAAAGTAGTTGTTATACTCCAGAAACTTCGTTTTTCTGGCTGCCACAAACTTTGTTGAATTGCCTGAGACTATATGAGATATTCATTGAAAAACTACATCAAAATGTGCAGCAGGATATCCCTCAAAAATGTTTTGGCAGTTTAATACACTTTTCCCATGTTTTTATGATAGAACGAATTAGGAAATGACATTTATAACCTAGGAACAAAATCATGTTACGTAGCGTTCTTATTTCCTTCTGTAGAAGGCAAAAGCAGGAAGTCTCATCATTTTCTTTTATCCTTTTATTCATGAGAGATCTCAAGAGAAGGACAATTGTCATTGGCAATTTTGTGAGCTTTTCAGAATGCTTGCCAGTACTGAAAAATTTCCTAACACTTATCTTCATGGCAGGAGACGCTTCACATTCATTATTATGTGTTGATTGTACTGCTATTTAAAGCACATGAGAGGAGTGATAGTGGGAATAATAATAATAATAATAATAATAATAATAATAATAATAAACCCTACTCAGATCTGGACACATTATTCACCAATACATCACACAGTCCTAGATGCTTGGAAAGTGTCCAATGTGTGATCCAATACAACAGCCAGCATAGTGATCTTGTTTGCTGTGTACTAATTTTTTGTTGCATTTCAAATATTTATAATAATAATAATAATAATAATAATTATTATTATTATTATTATTATTATTATTATTATTATTGATGTCACCATACCAGGTGACAGTCACATTGAGGAAAAACAACAGGAAAAACTCAGCTGTTATCAGGACCTCAAAATCGAAAGCTCTGACATAAACCAGTACAGGTGATCCTAGTGGTCATTGGCACACTGGGTGCCGTGCCAAAAGATCTCAGTCGGCATTTGTAAACAATAAACATTGACAAAATCACTATCTGTCAACTGCAAAAGGCCACATTACTTGGATCTGCGCGCATCATTCGAAAATATATCACACAGTCCTAGACGCTTGGGAAGTGTTCGACTTGTGATTTTGTGATATGAAATCCAGCATATAGATCTCATTTGCTGTGACATATTGTGTTTTTGTGTTAGTATAATAATAATAATATTTATAACTCGCCCAATCTCCCTGAGGGGACACTCAGGGTGGTTTCCAGTAAAAGTAACAAAGTGGCAAACATCCAATGCCGAAAACAAACAAATAATAAATCAAAACAGTGGATAAAACAATATCAATATAAAATAATAAACCTAATAAAAATAACAAAAATTAAGCTTAAATATAGTATAACACATCACACCCATTTACCACATGATAAACTCTTAAAAATTAGACCAGTGGTTCTCAACCTGTGGGTCCCCAGGTGTTTTGGCCTACCTCTCCCAGAAATCCCAGCCAGTTTACCAGGATTTAGGATTTCTGGGAGTTGAAGGCCAAACATCTGGGAACCCACAGGTTGAGAACCACTGAATTAGACTAAAAAGGCATTAAAAGCTGAGATGAGTCAAACTTGACTTCAAAACACAGCCTTTCTCCTTGTCATGAGTTTGGTCCTGCTTGTGGTGCAATCTTCTTTTCTACTGTTGCCTTTTTGTTTTAAAGACACCAAAGCCATCCAGTTTGGCAAACACGTTAAAGCTTGCTCCGCCAAAGTTTAAGAAAGAAGATAGCACACGGAAAAAGATGCTGAACGTCTTGTTATTTAAAGCTGTGAGAGACGTCTTGAGTACTTGTGATGCCGGCCAGGAAGTGTATGACCTCTGTGTCGAACTGTCCAAGGCAAGTATAAATAATATCAGCCCAGCAAAATCTTTCATATGGAATGTTAGAGAAATCTTGTCTCATTTCTGCAAGCTGCCCTGCAAATAACCAGCAGTTTGTTATAGTTTGCCTGAAAGAGCCTCCACATAATATTGTGGATTTATATAGCATTTCTTAGGCCAATTACTGAAGTGTTTAACTTTTAGTCCCTTAGTGGAAAAGGAGGAAAGGTTGTTGATCATATCTACATGTACTATTATTTCTCAATTTTTAGAATCTGGACACATTTAATATGTAAGCTCAGAAATCTGTACTGGGTGTACAATGTGATTTTTTTTTTTACTTAGAAGCTAACTTTAATTTTTGAATATCTTCAGACATTTTAGGTGTTCTTGTTTTGAACTAAGATCTGGATCACTTGAACAAATAGTTAAATGATGAATTTCCACTTACTGATGTCAGTGTGGTCAAGGCAAGAGTTGTGTGGCATCTTAAAGGCTAAAGAATTGTATTTGACATAAGTATTCATAGGCTAACTTTGCAGTGTAAACTATGCAGTATACTATATATCCAAGGAGTGCAGTCATGGCAGTTAAAGTAGGATTATAATGGTCTGATTCCAACCTACCCCACTTGTTATTATTGTTCTTATGTTTGTTTGTATTAAACCTTTTTTATTCAGTAATGTAAGGGCATTCTTATTATTTGTAATTGAATTGATCTGTCTAGATCAGTAGTTCTCAATTTGTGGGTCCCCAGGTGTTTTGGCCTACAACTCCCAGAAATCCCAGCCAGTTTACCAGCCAAAAGGCCAAAACATTTGGGAACCCACAGGTTGAGAACCACTGATCTAGATAATAATGATCTTTTTTTCCACATCTGTTTGTCATAAGATTTTCAAATTTCTTTCGAAATACGTTTTTACCCTGTAGAATGTGCATTTTATACCTGGTATCTTTTGAAATTCTTTAGGCATCTCTCACATCAGATTTTTCAATATGCCGAATATATTGGAGGACTACTGGCAACATAGAGCAGGATGATCATATCGAGAAGGTTCTGCAGAAGAGTGCTCCACGTATAAGGTAATACTGTGATGTATTTAGAGGAGGACAAATACTGTAATCACAGGACCAGTAGCTTCAGTTTCATCTGACAAAATATGCCATGTCTCAGAATTTTCTTGGCCCTCCAAGGAAGTATAATCTATGTTTTCTATAGTTGTTACAATAGAATTGCCCCGGAAAACCTAGAAAATTCATAGAGAATGGCTCTGCGTCACATTTAAAGGATTCCAGATAATTGTTTGACACATTATTTAGATGTTGTAATTGTTGCAGATAGCAACCTTCTCAAGCCTCCTCTATGTAATGTTTTGTCTGTTTATAACGTGTCATTTATTTCCTGAAATGTATGTCTTCTTTAGTTTGCAGTACAGAAGCCAGTGTAGGAAGTTAGAAAACTGTTGAGTCTTGAGTCCCTTGGAAGTAGAATGTTATGAAAGATAACTGTACAGAGCAAAATAGTTTTGAAGAGACTGATAAAGACTATAAGTTAAGGATACAAACTGAAAGGTTTTAACGTTTAACCTGAAGAAATGTATCTGTATATTTAAATACATGAAGTTATGAGTAAAACAAACATGTTGTTTTAAAGACGTCTACTTGAATATTTGTCTGCTGAGAGCATCAAACAGAAAAAAGATATTTATGTGCCTAGTGATTATCCATTACCCAATAAACTAAAGGAACACTTCCAAAACTCTGCTACCCAATAGGTTATGATCCTAACAGGTCATAATCCTTATCTGCCTTTGTAAATGATAACATTGCCAGGCATGTGTAACATGGTCGCTGACTTTAAATATGGTCATTGTAATGATGATTTTTTTTTTTACAGGCATCTTCTGATCACACATCAAATCATGGGAAATGTTCCTTCAATAGTCTTTGTTAGAGATAAGGCAGATGCTATTGTAAGAGAGGTAAGGAAGAAAGAACATAAATATTTTCTTTTTTTATTTAATTGTGGATCCAGCTGCAGTTTCTCTCATCCTCCCATTCTACATACCAGTCTTCCAGCAAATACAATTGCAGGATGCACCCACTATTTGTTAAAACAAACAAACCATGAAGCCATGCTTGTTGGGCCTTGTAAAAAAAAGTATTGTCGAATTGTTTTGCTCATGCATTCAGCTCTGTCCTTCCACCAAGTATTATCCAACTATCTTTTGGATTAGGGAGCTAAAGGAAATGTTGCATTTCATATGTATATATGGAATAGTGTTTTGCCCATGCTCTGAATTGGGATCTAAACCTGGTCAAAATGCAATAAAAAATAAAATAAAAGGGTGAAAGTTTAAATCTGGAGATGTACAAGAATACAGTGGTAAAGACAGTTTTAAAAAGGTTTTTTACAATCTAGTCCTGTAAGCATCTACTCAGGCATTGGGTTTCGTTGAATTTATTACCAGATAACATTGCAACATGTTTATATTTTGTGTGGTTTTGTTCTGCTTTTCCAAGCAATGTATTTTAAATATTTTCATCCTGCTTGCTGTGAAAACAAATATTCCTTACATGATGGGAGTATGGTGTTGGAGAAGCCTCCAGAACTATCTGTTGCTAGAGAATAGAGAAGTGGTTCCCAACCTTTGGTCCTTTGAGTGTTTGGACTTCCACTCCCAGAAGCCCTAGCCAACTTGGCCAAATGTCAGGAATTCTGGGAACTGAAGTGCAAAACATCTGAAGGATCAAAGGTTGGGAAACACTGGAATAGAAAAAGGAAAGGGCAAAAGCATATTTGAAAACCTTTAAACCCTAAGAAATTTATGGGGCTGCCATAAGTCAGAAGGTGACTTGAAGGCACATTTATGCATACAAACATTTTGTTTAAAAATGCAACATATATGGAAGAATATTCTGCTGTGCAAGATGTTTTGTTCACAGCATTCTATTTCTACAGAATGCATATTCAAAAGTAGAACATGCACAGTAGTTGAGACATAAAAGTTATTTGCTTGCAGAATGGATTTGAATTCAAGTTTACTTTTTGAGGTGGTTTCTTAATGCTATTTTAAATATATTTCCTTACAGATTGAGCGGTTGTTGGCGACTGCTGATATGGGGCCAGAAGAAGGAGATGTTGAATTGGTTCTTAATGATCTCAGGTAAATGATCAGAACCCAGCATTGTACTGTTACTGTAGTGCGGTGCAACAGAGCTTCCATTCCCTCTTCTCCCTTGGACAATATTTGAAGTGGGGAAAGGAAGTTACATTTCCCCCAGTAGATTCCCCATGCTCTCCTTCTAGTGAAGGAGGACTTGACAGTTGGAGTGCTCTGCAGCATCTACAACAAGAGGGAGAGGATACTTGATACTACTGGTGCCTCAGAAAGAAAAGAAGGAAAAAATTGGAGCCATTCCTCCACTATGCCAAGGGCAGGCTCTCCACAGAGTTTGATAGTTTGGAAAATGGTTGGCCAGGTGTAGAACTAGTGTGAGGATGTGTGGCTACATCAGTCTGATGCTTGGGGCTCCTTTGAAGAGAGTGCGGAACAGGCATCATTTCAGTGTGGTCCTCTTCTTGGGACAGCCTCATCTAACATAATCATAGAGCATATATGGGAAAACTTTCTAACTTGGGGGCCGCATGGTGGGCTGGAGCAGGGTGGGCAGGCTGGGAAGGAGAGGGTTCTCCCCAAGTCCCTTCCCTGCCCTTTCCTCCTCTTCCCTTTTGGAGGCAGAAAGTGAAGGAAAGAGGGGAAAAGTTTGGATCCCAAAAGAATTGGCCTTGGTCAGGGTGAGATGGTGGACAGGAAAGAAAAAGTGTTTCCATTAGACCCCGTCTTGCCTACTTCTGATGTAGAATCCTAGAGCTGGAAGAGACCCCCAAGGGCCATCCAGTCTAACCCCCTGCCATGCAAGAAGGCACAATCAAAGCACTCCCAATAGACAGCCTCTGTGAAAAAGCCTCCAGAGAAGGAGACTCCACCACATTCTGAGGCAGCCTATGCCACTCTCCAACAGCTCTTACTCTCAGGAAGTTCTTCCTAATCTTTTCAGTTGAATCTCTTTCCCTGCCATTTGAAACCATTGCTCCCTTGTGCCCTGGTCTCCAGAGCAGCAGAAAGTCAGTTTTCCCTCCTCCTCCCCCCTCAAGGGAACACCCTTTTAAATCTTGAAACATGGTTCTCATGTTCCCTCTCTACCTTCTCTTCTCCCAGCTAAACATCCTCCAGGAGGAAAGGAGGAAGGAAAAAGAGAAGGAAGGAAGGGTGGAAGGGAATGGAGGGTGGAGGGAAGGGAGAAGGAAGAAAGACAAAAGGGAAGGAAGAAGGAAGAAGGAAGGAAGGAAAGAAGGAAGGAAGGAAGGAAGGAGAAAGAGAGGGGAAAGAGGAAGGAAAGAGGGAAGGAAGGACAAAATGGTAGAAGGGAACGAAGGAGGGAGACAAAGGGAGGTAAGGAAAGGCGGGAAGGAGGAAGGAAAGAGGGGGAAGGAAGGATAAGCTCGTGAGAGAGGAGCTGAGAAAAGAGTCCAAGAAGCCGCATCTGGCCCCCAGGCTTGGGTTTGCCCATACCTGTAATAGAGCCATCCTTGTTTCTTTGGCCTCCAAAATGGCTGTGGAGTCCTTGCAGCCTGTGAAATCTGGCTTATGGGATGGTTGGGAACTGGAGTCATCCACCCCTGTTTCAGCTGTTCCATTAATGGAAGCCCAGTACTGGATACTGTCCACAAAGGTATACAGTGAATTAACAATGCTTTAGAAATGTAGTTTGCTTTCATGCTACCTTGGGTTAGTACCTAAATTGCCTTGGAGTAGACATATAACAAAACATATATAAATATAACAAAAATAGATAACATTTGGGGATATAAAAAGGCCTCAGGGACTGCATGTGGCCCATGGACTGCACTTTGCTTTCTTCTGAATAGGTCCAGAATACATCACAGGCTGTTCACACAATGGGATTTTCCTTCTTTCCAATGTAGCCCTCCATGTTTCTTGGAAGACCATTGGAAAAGAGAATGAGCTGCCCTTGGAGATAGGAGTTAGCAAAAACTAGGTGGAGATTAGGTTATGGTGATATTTCTTGCTTATTTTCTCCCTTTCTTGCAGTGAACAAAGCTCTGCTGCGAATGACATGTACTTGGACTCCTCGGCTTCTTCTGTTCATACTAATCTGTTCGGAATTGATCATGAGTCATTAAATAAGCAAATACTTGAGTATAAAAGAATGAAAAAGGACCCAGAAATAGAAGGGATTGGGCTGTCAGAGCAACAGCAGCAGCAGCTAGCTGAGATACGAAAGCAAAAGAAAATGAGATGGAAAAAAACCAAGAAACCCTTTGACGATGATATTACTCCTCAGAAATATCTAATGGACAAATACAGTGAAGCTTATTGGGATCATGAAGTTGCATCCTCACAGGAAAATCAACTGGAACATGAATCAGATGAAACTGATAATGAAGTGGAGATAGATAGCAGTACCACCAAGGTTAAGTAAGGATGAACACAACAGTGACTTAGTTTGTTGTCATCGTTCGGGTTAAGATTTGGAGGTCTGGAAGTATACTTTGAAATCACTCTTATTTCTGTTCCTCTTACCCATTTACTTCTTTTTCTTGTATGGATCGCAATAATTTGCAGTGATGTCCAAATAAGACAAACAACGACCAATGCAAAATACGATTTACCTGCAAACTAGGAGCAGACAACCTATGGTTCTCCAGATGTTGTGGGACTGCAATTCTCATTACCCCTTACAAATAGTGCTGGTGGTTTCGATCCCAACAATATTTGGAAGGTTGTACTTTCCCAGCCCTGCTCTAAACCGACAACTAAGCATGATTTGAAGAGAATTCCTAATTATGTCAAATAAAAGTTTGCGTTGAGAGGCTATAGCAAATTATTTCTTAATAAAACTAAGGGAGAAAAGAGCTGAGATTCATCCTGAGTTTACTGTGATTATTATTAACACCATTTTTCTTTCCATATGTTTTGTCAGTTTTAATAATGTATTTGTTTTTTTTAAAAGGCATCACACATCATGATTTGGGAATGGTGAAATTGTATCTTTCATACCCGAGCTAAAGCACAGAGCCAGTGTGTCATGGTGACACAAGTGTTGAACTGAGTGTGTGACACCAAGGTTTAAATCCCAAGTCAGCCTAAGAACAAAATAAATCTTGCCAAGAAAACCTTAGAATAGGGTTGCCATAAATTGGGAGTAGCCTTGAAGGCATATAGTAACAGCAAAGCAAAGGCGCACACCTTGAGTTAGTTACTCTGCGTTCTTCGGTGTTATTTATTATTATTTATTTGCGGTATTTGTATACCACCCTTCTGAACTCAGGGCAGTTCATAGTGTTGGCAACAATTCAGTGCCATCGAACAGTATAAAGCATCAAAATTGATCGTCCCCTGATAAAACATTAAACATTATTAGACATTATACATTATTACAGCACATAAAATCACATATCGCACAAAGACATATCACACAAAGACAGTACTTTAGCAGGATGCCACATTCAGTTTGCATATCCCTTATCCAAAATGTTTGAGAACATTTTTCAGATTTTGTAATTCTGGATAAGAGTTCATCTGCCTGTAATTGTACAACAGGCCCTCTATATTGGGAAAAGAGGGACACCCCTGAAAGAGGAGAGTAGCCACGTCTGACACCCCTCATTGGGAAAACTGAGTGCAATGTAGAACAGTGCTTTACTATTTGCCACATAATCAAACTGAGAGTAGGAAAACAAGTTCAGTGAACATAGAATGGAAAGATTTGGAAAACACTGTTCCTTTATTCCTGGTACAAAGTCATCTAATTATCAAGTTATCATAGGTGATCTGAGTAATGATTGCCTTTCAAGTGTAGGGTCTTGGTGGTGGGTCCACAGGTGACTGTAGAGATCATGTTGCTGATACACCATTTTCAGCAGGCATCATTTCGTGACATACAGTAGTAATTCAGTTTACTAGCAAACTGGAAGTTAAACATACTCTTTATAAGAGATACAGAGAGATACATCAATTGCAATAATGAAGTGTATGGGGACAAAATATATCTTATTAAAACCTTTCATACACACACATATACAGGGTGAGGCAGCATAACTTCCTTTTTTAAAATGCATGCCATTCAGTCGTTTGAAGATGTAGCGGAGCGCTAGTGGTCTCGTTCGAAAGGCGGGAGTATAAACAGTTCAGTTGCCATCATGCGTTGGAACAGTGAGGAGCGTGCTTTTGCCATTGAAGCCTACTTTTCGAGCGGATTTGGAGTGGCCGGCCCGCTCTCCAGATTTGGCCCCTTGTGATTTTTTTCTATGGGTTTTTTTGAAATCCTGTGTTTATATGAACCGCCCAAGGACCCTACAAGATTTGAAGACCAACATCCAGGAAGAAATTGCCAACATAACGCCTACTATGCTGGCAAGAGTCATGACAAACGCCAGAAATCAATTTACTCAGTGTATGGACAATGGGGCACCTACCTAATTTGATCTTCAAAACACCGTAAAACAAAACTAGGTATGCACCTGCATTATATAAAAAAATCAGATTCATACAATGGCTTTTATTAAGTTTTGGAAAAAAAGGAAGTTATGCTGCCTCACCCTGTATATATAGGTTATTTTTTTATTTCACAGAGACTCGGGAGTGTCACATGTTTGTGTGACACATTTGCAAACTGCAGCTGACACAGTATTGTGTCTCAACACAATACTGTTTGGAAAGTTTGGATAGCCATTGTCTAGGGCCTCTTTTTATACAGCAGAGTCTCGCTATCCAACCTTCGCTCATCCAACATTCTGTATTATCCAACGCAGTCTGCCTCCCGCCCAACTGTTTCAATATATTGTGATGTTTTGGTGCTAAATTTGTAAATACAGTAATTACTACATAACATTACCGTGTATTGAACTGCTTTTTCTGTTGATTTGTTGTAAAACATGATGTTAGGGTGCTTAATTTGTAAAATCATAACGTAATTTGGCCTTTAATAGACTTTTCTTTATTCCCTCCTTATTATCCAAGATTTTCGCTTATCCAAGGTTCTGCTGGCCCGTTTATGTTGGATAAGTGAAACTCTACTGTATTCCAGCTTCTATGCTTCCTGAATATTGGCCATGTTGGCTAGGGTTTATGGAAATCACAGGTATGTTAGCATATTATTCAAATGAGTTTTGTTCTCAAGAGCTATAAACAAGATTCTTGCTTGGGAGTGAGTTGACTTCAAGATGGATATTCTACTATGATGGGAAATATCTAGTTTAATAGACATGTCCAATAGCATTACAATATCAGATAAATATAAATTTTAAAATGCAGGTGTACCGTAACTAACTTAAAGTGTTCCTGGCCATTACATTCTTAACAGTTGGTACCAGAGGAAGAAATGCCATGAAAACTTTAGGGATAGGTTTCTGTACCGCAAAGATGACCAGTTCAACATATTTCAGCAAATCTTTTATCTAAATTTTTCAATGTGCACACGTTGGCAGCCACCTCTCCAACAAAGTCAACATCTCTTTTGCCCTCCATTTGTGCCTCTTTAAATTCTACAACACTGCTGGTCACAACTGACCTCCAGCAAGAGTACTCAAAGGCCAAGGCTTCCCAGTTCTCAATGTCTATGCCAGTTTTTAAGGTTGGCTTTGAGCCCATCTTTAAATCTCTTTTTCTGCCCACCAACATTCCCTTTTCTGTTCTTGAGTTCGGAGTAGAGCAACTGCTTTGGGAGATGATGGTCACCAGCCAATCCCTCTCCAATGCCAGAGATACAGCTTAATGGTGTAATATTAGAAAACATTTACCATTTCCGCTACCTTGGCAGCCACCTCTCCAACAAAGTCAACATCGACACCGAAATACAACACCACCTGTGCTCTGCGAGTGCAGCATTTTTCCGAATGAAGCAGAGAGTGTTTGAGGACCGGAACATCCGTAGGGATACCAAGGTGCTTGTTTATAAAGCTATTGTCCTCCCCACCCTGTGAAACGTGGACTGTCTACAGATGTCACATGCAACTCCTGGAATGATTCCATCAGCGCTGCCTCTGGAAAATCCTGCAAATCTCTTGGGAAGACAAGCGTACAAATGTCAGCATGCTGGAAGAAACAAAGACCACCAGCATTGAAGTGATGGTCCTCTGCCATCAACTCGGCTGGACCGGCCACATTGTCCGGATGCCTCCCAAAGCAATTGCTCTACTCCGAACTCAAGAATGGAAAATGGAATATTGGCGGGCAGGATAAGAGATTTAAAGATGGGCTCAAAGCAAACTTTAAAAACTCTGGCATAGTCACTGAGAACTGGGAAGCCCTGGCCCTTGAGCACTCCAGCTGGAGGTCAGCTGTTATCAGCAGTGCTGCAGAATTTGAAGAAGCACGAATGGAGGGCGAAAGAAACGTGCCAAGAGGAAGGCGCGTCAAGCCAACCCTGACCAGGACCACCTTCCACCTGGAAACCAATGCCCTCACTGTGGGAGAAGATGCAGATCAAGAATAGGGCTCCAGTCACCTATGGACCCACCGCCAGTACACTGATCTTGGAGGACCATCATCCTTGGACTACGAGGGATCGCCTAAGTAAGTAAGTACAGGGTGCGGCAGCATAACTTCCTATTTTAAAATGTGCGCCATTCAGTCGGTTGAAGACGTAGCGGAGAGGTAGTGGTCTCGTTCGAGAGGCGGGAGTATAAAGTTTTGTCCTGACATAGTTCAGTCGCCATCATACGTTGAACAGTGAGGAGCATGCTTTTGCTGTTGAGGCCTACTTTTTGAGCAGATTTAGAGTGGCTGGCCAGCTCTCCAGATTTGACCCCTTGTGATTTTTTTCTATGCGTTTTTTTGAAATCCCGTGGTTATGTGAACTGTCCAAGGACCCTACAAGTTTTGAAGACCAACATCCAGGAAGAAATTGCCAACATAATGCCTGCTATGCTGGCAAGAGTCATGACAAACGCCAGTGTATGGAGAATGGGGGACGTCACCTACCTAATTTGATCTTCAAAACTATGTAAAACAAAACTTTAGGTATGCGCCTACATTATATTAAAAAAATATCTGATTCATACAATGGGTTTTTATTAAGTTTTGAAAAAGGAAGTTATGCTGCCTCAACCCTGTACTTTTGGGGTGCACTGGACTGCAAAATGAATGCAATTGGGCAACTTCCCTGACTCCATGCAATGAAATCCTGGGGGCTGCAGTTCCACAAGGTCTGCAGCCTTCCCTACTAAAGAGTTCAAGCAACAGCTTCAATGATCCCATAGCACTGAGCCATGAATAGTGAAAGCAGGGCCAAGCTGCATTCATTCTGGAGGCCTGAGAAGATCCCTGTACTCCAACCTTCAGAATCTGAAAGCGGAAATCCTTTGCCGGCGGCTCCCATTGGCTGAGGGAGAGGTGACGTAGAGAGCCGCACAGCGCCCCCTGCAGGCCAGCTCCGGCCTCGCCGCGCCCGCCCACGTGTTGCGGAACAGCGCCGAAGGGGGCGTGGAAAAGTTTGTAGCCCTGGCGCCAAATCCCCAGGAACAAGCCGCTGTCTTTGGGGACGCCTCTTCCTCAAGGTGGGTTGTGATCCCGCGTGTTTCCCGGCAGACTTCCTCTCCCTCCTCACTTTCCAATTGCCTCTTAACTCCAGCAATCGGGGTGCAGCTACACTGGGGAATGAATGCAGTTTAGCACCACTTTAACTGCCATGGCTTAGACATGTTGTGGTGACCCCTAACCATACAATTATTTTCGTTGCTATTTCGTAACTGTAATTTTGCTACTGTTATGAATCGTTATGTAAATATCTGATATGCAGGCTGTATTTTCATTCACTAGACCAAATTGGGCACAAATACCCAATACGCCCAAATTTGAATACTGATGTGTTTGGGGGGAGATTGATTTTGTCATTTGGGAGTTGTAGTTGCTGAGATTTGTAGTTCACCTATAATCAAAGAGCATTTTGAACTCCACCAGTGATTGAATTAAACCAGACTTGGCACACAGAACTTCCATGACCAACAGAAAATACTGGAAAGTATTGTCGAAGGCTTTCATGGCCGGAATCATTGGGTTGTTGTAGGTTTTTTCGGGCTATATGGCCATGTTCTAGAGGCATTCTCTCCTGACGTTTTGCCTGCACCTATGGCGAGCATCCTCAGAGGTAGTGCTAATTGGAAGATAGGATCTGTAGGGAACGAACTTGCACAACTTCAAAGTAAACAAGAGACACTGTAGAATTAATGCAGTTTGACACCACTTTAACTGCCTCTAACTAAATGCTGTTGTATCCTGGATTTGTAGTTTGGTGAGCACTGACACACTTTGACAGTGAAGGTTAAAGACCTTTTAAAACTATAATTCTCATGATTCTATAGCATTGATCCATGGCAGTGAAAGTGACATCAAACTGGATTAATTCCATAGTGTGCCCTTTTTTTGACCAGGGACCACTTTGACCAGAGACCACTCTCCAACATTAGTATCAAAAAGGTTATGAATCAGTCTTTGGGCAACTTAATTTTCGGTTTGGTTATTTGGGGTGCCCATTCAGAAAACTGCATTGGATAAACCACATCAACTTTTACAGAACATATGCCATCCAGTAATCACCATCTGCTCACCCATAGAAATCCATATTTAATAAGCCTCAGCACTATAAGAAAATTTTGCGAGACCAGTCGCTCTCGTTGCAACGGTGTAGTAACAGTGAGGCCATGGACCATATTTTAGTTCTTGTGTACAACAAGTTGGGAACCACTGGTGTAGATGCACCCCTCATTTCTCTTTGGTTGTCCACCTTTACTTTATGCGAATTTATATACTTCACGTGACTTGATTTTTGCTTATCTTTCAATAGTCTCGAATTCCCTCACATTTAAATTCAGTATGACAATAATTCATATATGTTAGACTATGTTAGTACATTTATTCTCCCAAGCTTTTTTGCTTTATCAGTGAGCTTGTGATTGTCTATGTTTTCTATCTGTTTCAATTTTATTAGTGAAACATATCTAATAGGTTCTCTCTTTACAGGTGTGTAAAATGGCAGAGAGACCTGTCTGGGAGCAAATTGGAACCAGTTTTATACAGCTGTATTATCAACAGTTTGATACCAACAGGGAACAATTGGGAGCCCTTTATGTATGTATTAGCACTGTTTTCTTGTTGGTGTAATGCAGGGCTGGGCAAACCGCAGCCCTCTAGATCAGTGGTTCTCAATCTGTGGGTCCCCATATGTTTTGGTCTTCAACTTCAACACCTAACAGTTAGTAAACTGGGATGTCTGGGAATTGTAGGCCAAAACACCTGGGGACCCACAGGCTGAGAACCACTGCTCTAGAAGTTGTTGAACTAGAGTGCCCAGCATTCTGCAACATTGGTCTATTATATACATATAGTATATAGTGTACACACACACACACACACGGCTGATGCTTCTGTGATATTGTTTTACTGTTTTTAATTAATCCTGTATGTATTGTTTTTAATGATTGCATTATGTATTTAATTGTGGTTATATTATTGTAATTGTTATGTAGCGGCATTGTATCGTTACTGCATGTAAGCCGTCCTGAGTCCCCCTTCTGGGGTAGAGAAGAGACGGAGTAGAAATACCAGAAATAAATAAATAAATAATAATAAATAAATACGTCTATATCTTATCTAGCTGGAGTTACACTTAAAAATGCATCTGTTCCGACTTACAAACAAATTCAATGTAAGAACAAACCTACAGAATTTATCTTGTTCATAACTTGGGGACTGCTTGTATAGGTGTTATCCAGAGGCTACAATAACTCATGTAATGCATGAGTTATTGGTTACGTTTGTTGTGTTGATGGATCCAGATTTGTCCTTCCTGAGTGTGAACAATGTGGTGCCATTTTTAAGATTGCCATCTGGTTTTGCCAGCAAGAGTCACCAGCTACAATGTACCATCCACCTGGGTAAAGTAAAATCCTCAGTGATGGTTTGTCCCTCCATATCCCCGTGTCAGAAGCTAGTAGGAAGCTCCCTATCCCAATATGCTATTTTAACCAGTTTTTGAAAAAGGAGTTGTTTATTTTTTTTTGTTTGCGTTTTGAACTAAAGTTGGACCTCTCCATTTACGACATTTGCAAATTTCATGATTCATGAATTTGATTAAAATGTCCTCTCTGGCAATTCCTAGGTCCTTCAGTGTAATGCTATGATCAGCTTCCACCAGAAGTTCATCATAGGATATAACACTTCAATATGAATTGCTAAATGTTTCAGTGTGGAAGTTGACCATAGTGTCATGCTGGAGAACCTAGAGATCCTGGAGAAATGTTCTTCCATGTAAAAAAGAAAATAGCAATCTCATTATTTTTAGCCTGACTTTGAAGCTGTGAGGCCATTCAATGCTAATCAAGGTGGTCAATTGCAACATTCACATCTACCTCAAACAGACAAGAGTTCTTTCTCCCACCCTGGACACGCCACAGATATATAAACTCAACTTGCCTAATTTCCAACACATCTTACAACCTCTGAGGATGCCTGCCATAGATGTGGGTGAAACATCAGAAGAGAATGCTTCTGGAACATGGCCAAATAGTCCAGAAAACTCACAGCAACACAAATATAAATCCCTTGTAGCCAGTCTGGACATTCAGCTGGAAAGGATGTGCAATTTTATCTGCTATACAGAGAAGTGCTTTGGATTAAGCACAGACAAAATATTGTCAGTGGTTTTGCAATGGTTCTGAGGTGTAATTGGTTGTAGGAAAACTGAGGTTTGAATTGGATTTATGATTATTCATTTATATGCTTTGTTTTTGATTAATCATTTAACATATGCATTACTGACATTAAAAAAAACCTTTTGCAGACAGATGCATCATGTTTGTCATGGGAAGGGCAACAGTTCCAGGGAAAAACATCAATTATGGAAAAATTAATGGTATGTTATCACTTAAAAGTCATAATCAAACTGTTTTATTTAACTAATCTTCCTTGCACTGGTTTTCAATATTTAAGCTTTGATTGGGAAGTATAAAGAAGAATGTAAACTGAATTGTATCATGTTTGTATGATAGTTATTGAAAGTCTTAATATGATTTTTTTTTTCTTTCTTGGAAATAGAGACTCCCTTTCCAAAAAATTCAGCATAACATCACATCCCAAGATCATCAACCAACTCCTGACAATTGTATTCTTAGTATGGTAGTGGGTCAGCTGAAGGTGAGTTTGGAAATCAATGGCAGTTTAGTTACTATGGCCCCTTCTACACATCTGTATAAAATCCACATTATCTCTTTTGAAGTGGATTATATGGCAGTGTAGATTAAGATAATTCAGTTCAAATCTGATAATGTGGATTTTCTGCTTTGATAACCTGGATTATTTGGCAGTGTGGAAGGACTCTACATCTATAAAGTATTTACATCAACAGTGGTGCAGTGGTTTAAACTCTTGTGCCAGCAGGACTGAAGACTGACAGGTCAGAGGTTCGAATCCGAGTAGAGCGCAGAAGAGCTCCCTCTGTCAACTCCAGCTCCCCATGCGGGGATGTGAGAGAAGCCTCCCACAAGGATGGCAAAACATCCAGAAGTCCCCTGAGCAATGTCCTTGCAGACAGCCAATTCTTGCACACCAGAAGCAACTTGCAGCTTCTCAAGTTGCTCCTGACATGAAAAAAAAAACATCAACAATTACCCAACATGTAAATTGGATCCTGGAAGCACAAAATTGTGTAATTAATTTTAAAAAATCAATCAAACAAGTATAAAGCAGATGTATGTTCTTTTATCTATCCCAATGTGACACAATTCTTTAGACAATTAACTAGCTCTGAAGATTATAGGATTTTTAATCCAGTATATCTTGAGAAAAAATTACCAGGGAAACTGATTTACATGTTATTTAGGCCATTTAAAAACTAATCTAAAATGTGACATGACATACAATATACTGTATATACTCGAGTATAAGCCTAGTTTTTCAGCCCCTTTTTTAGGCTGAAAAAAAATCCCCTCGGCTTGTACTCGAGTCAAGGTTATTTATTATTTTACTTTGCTATTAATATTATTTTTATTACATTTATTATTTTACTCTATTATTACTTTTATTACATTGATTATTTTACTCTATTATTATTACATTTACATTATTTTACTCTATTACTTTTATTACATTGATTATTTTACTCTATTATTATTACATTTACATTATTTTACTGTATTATATTTATTGCATTTATTATTTTACTCTATTATTATTACATTTACTACATTTATTATTATGATTACCATTATTATTAAATTTCCATTATTTACTCTATTATTTTTATTACGTGTTATATTTATTATTTTAATCTATCATTATAGGTAATAGGTAAGCACATTTGCAGTGAAGAAGGTTAGAATAATGGTTGAATCAGAATTGGGCAGTCTTATCTTAAATTACAGTTTTGTGTAAATACTCAAAAACATTTAACCTACTGACGATTACCAGTAGCAGCTACATTTCTCACCCTTGGCTTATACTCGAGTCAATACGTTTTTCCAGTTTTTTGTGGTAAAATTAGGTCCCTCGGCTTATATTCGGGTCGGCTTATACTCGAGTATATATGGTAATTGGATGTTGATATTGTAAAACCCTACTCTAAGAACCCACTTTGTTGAAATTATTGAAGATTACCAATGCATAGATTTGGTTAGGATTTGGCCGTAGCATTTAAACCACTTTGCAGACTTTATTTTTGTAATCGGCACATTCACATGAAATTGAAACTTGTCCTTTTTTTCCCTAAAGGTGGATGACGATCCAGTGATGGGATTTCATCAGTTGTTTGTCCTCAAGAACATTAATGATAAATGGGTTTGTTCCAATGACATCTTTCGGCTGGCTCTGTACAACTTTGCTTAAAATCTCTGTTTGGAAATGCACCTTCCCTTTTCTCAAATTTCTAACTAAACAAAACCTGGTTTAAAGTTATTTTTTTGTGAGATTTGTGTTTGAAAGAACATGTCTGTCCTGTCCTGTTGTGTTAATTGAAATAGCTAATATGTTCATTTTGTCAGATATACCTATATTCCTCCCTTGTACATCTGTCACATAAAACATCTCATGAATTCTGTCTTGTAAGAACATTGCCTGGCTTTTTAAAATTACATTTGCTGAAACCTATTAAATTGATTTATTATTCTAAAAAATAGCACATTTTTCAACAAAATAACCACTACGAAACCCAGTTGGTAGACCTGAACTGAATCTTTGCTATTCTTTAACGCTTTTCTTTGTACAACTTAAAACCACATGTTCACATTATTTGTTAATATGATGTTGACTCAGGATAAAATTTGCTTGACAATTCTGCATGAGAAATATGTTGTTTCAATAAATTCTGACAAGGATGTCTGACTTTTCACTGGGCAAAACATTGAAAAACAGCATGCCCTTGCGGGAAAGAAAAGCTGTTGCTTCAGGCACGTGGAAATCAAGAACTCTGCAATGTGAAGCTGATGTTGTAAAACCACTTAATGATGGGTTCACTGCCTCAAAAGAAAACCTGATAATTGGATCTCAGCCTCTGCATGTTGTCCGCTGCTGCCAGCAGAAATACTCTGCAGTGAGGTGTAAAATACTCCTCAAAAATGAGCTGTATATGAACAATCCTGGCAGAGAAAAAGAAAAAAAAAGCTGTCTTGTCTGTAAATAAGTTTCTTAATTATGCATTTTGCCTAAGACCTTTACAGTGATGTGACTGCTTTTCAAAGCAAAAGCAACAGAGTGAGGGCATCCATTCTTTATAAATGTTGACATAGTAGTTTGTGTTGGGTAGGACTCTGAGGGCCTAGGGCCCCGTCTGCACTGCCATCTTGAATAATAATAATAAAAATAACAATAATCTTTATTTATATCCCACCACCATCTTCCCAAAAGGGACTCGGGGTGGCTAACATGAGGCCAAGCCCAAAAATAATACAGCAAAATAAAATACAACACAACAGAAAGATCACATCACACATTGAAGGGGCAAAGAACCAAAATACTCCTTAAATCCAAATCTGAAAAGCAGGAGCTCCCTTTCCTGTGGGGAGGGCGAGGGAGGACTCCACAGAAGTTGAATCTTCAAGTTGCTAAATGCTATTTTATTACGTTACCATAGCAAGACAACAAACATGCATATAGGAATGTAATCAGAAATTTTGTCGCACCCTCCATTGGGACTGCAGAGCTTTTATCACTTTGGCAGTAAATTGAATACACATTCTTATTGGTGTTCAAAGATCTATCATGTCATTGGTCTAAGCTGGCTATAAAGATGCTCATTGGTTCTTTATGATTTTGACGCATGAAAGCACACGTGGGACCCCAACAATGGCACAACTATAATCTATTCTCTTAATGAATCGGTCTTATCAGTCCTGTTACAAGCATAACTCCAAAACGACTGGGAAACTTGGGGAGTACTAACTATCCACTAGCTAGCCAGTCTTGTCCTGATGTACTTTTATCCTTGATAGCAGCAGTTTTCTCAAACCATCAGCATTTTCTGTAAACAAAGACTCTCTGCAGAAATAGGCTAATACGGCAGTACATCGGGACATTTGGGCTTCCCTCAAAATTCCCTTTTAAAACTACYTCTCCCTCATTACAGTGCAGTTCAAAACTCCTACACTGGACATAGGAAGAGACTGTCRTGTGGAGCTGCATTATGCTTAATATATTGTATGTAATATATACCTTGTAAGCCGCTGAGTCCCCTTCGGGGTGAGAAGGGCGGCATATAAATATCGTAAATAAATAAATATTTCTAGACTAGGCACAAGCAAACTTCAGCCCTCCGGTAGGCTGTTAGGAATAGTGGGAGTTGAAGTCCAAAAAAACCCGGAGGGCTGAAGTTTGCCCATGCCTTGTTTAGAAATATCACTAAGGTGCAGAGTGGCCTTATTGTTAAGCATTATGCTCCGCAAGACAGTCTCTTCCTATGGCTACAAGTCCAGTGTGGGAGTATCCAAAGGTGACACAGGAATTATCATTTTTATATAAAGTACTGAGAAATATAAAGGTATTATCTAATATCATTCTCTTAAAGAATTCTGTGGCCATTAACTGTCACTTCAGGTTTGGAACCATTTCAAACCAGCAGAGTTCTGAAACCGTTAGCAACACTACAGATAAAGACGAAATGGAGGTTGGACCCTGCCTTTAAGCTGGTCATACTATTTATATATCACAGCACTTTCTCTTCCTGTACTCTCTTTATTTTGGAAACAATTAGGTTTTATTGTTCTGGACCGAAATACTCTTTTTGAACCCAATTTGAATGTCATATGATCAAGTTGCTGAATGGGATTATCTGGCCATTCTGTTAACAAGAAGAAGTCTCAGTATGGGAAGAAAGAGAAGAAAAGGAGGGGAAGAGGGGAGAAGGAAGGAAGAAATCTAAATATATCTCTAAAAGAAGTCGGAAGATGTCCCAAATGTATTTACATATCAATATTCTTTGCTTGTCATGTACAATAAACTTTTTTTTATCCTCGCAACAATACTGTGAGGTAGGTTAGACTAGGAGCTCGTTTCTTACTCAAGTACACTTCTTCATTATATTCAGATTTTAAGCCGGACTTTATGTCCAGGTCTGTACTATTTGTGATACAGCACTGTATTATCCATTTGCTTGAATTTGGAATCAATTCAAGAAAAAAGTACTGATCTCAAGACCAAAACATACTACAAATTGAAAACTTGTAAAAAAAAAAAAAAGGAAGGAAGGAATCAGTTCGTAGAACAGTCTATCAAGAAGTGAAAAGCAGATAATTAATCACAAGAAGTCCTTCACAGACTATGGATAAAAACTGATTAATAAACATGGACTGTGAAAAGAAAGTGAAAGGACCCCAGGTTGTGTAACTTCCTAGAGATGGAAGAAGTTTTATTTTACCAGTGTACTACAGAAAGGAAGCAAAAAAAAATAGTCCATAAGTGTAACGGCAACCAATGAAACATTTTTGCTTCAATGGAAACAAAAAAAACTTGCTTCAAGTGGGACAAAATTCTCAAAAAGATATATATTTTTAACCAACCTTTAAAAATGCAAAGAAGAAGGCATGCCTTTCCTATGACTCAGCTGAGAAATGAGTTGTGCAGGACATGATAATCTTGGATATGATAAATCACATCATCTTGGATGGATCTACACAACAGACCTTTTAAGGGGGTAAGTACCATTTCTTATAACTCCTTTCATCACAAGATGACAATTTCTAAAACAGACCAGCTATATATCGTATTAGCTATGGCCTTTTCTGATGATAAATGTCAAAAAGCAGTTTGCTAAGAGTAAAGGGGGGCTGTAGTTTTAACATTTCCAAGAAATATTTTACATCTGTCCTTAAATCAGTATTATATTCAGTTTTTTCCATTCCCATCCAATAGACATTGCAAATTCTTATTGCCAAAAGAAATTCGAAATTCCCCCTCATTCCTGATTGGCCAGCTCCAGAAAGCTGGCAGGCATTTCCCAGATATCTGATTGGTCAAGAGGCAGACCTTAGCCGACGTGAGCACTGATCGGTGGAGTCTCATTGTTTCCTACATTCCATTGCCACACACCCAGGGGATGACACAGCCCCCTGGAGACCTCCCTGCCCCAGGAACCTCCTTACCAGCCGATTTGAGGCCCCAGGGCTTCCCTGCCAAGCTGGGAGGGGGTCCTTGGCTGCGTCAAGGACCCCCTCCCAGCTTGGCAGGGAAGCCCTGGGGCCTCAAATCGGCTGGTAAGGAGGTTCCTGGGGCAGGGAGGTCTCCAGGGGGCTGTGTCATCCCCTGGGTGTGTGGCAATGGAATGTAGGAAACAATGAGACTCTGGATAGGTGAACTGATCTGATTATGCAGATATCGGGTCCATGATATGGGGACAATGGATGCTGGGTCCCCAGACATTTTCCCATGCTGGGAAGACAAAAGGTCCAGAAAATAGCCTTTGGAGATGAGTGTATGGCAGGGAGTTGGACTAGATGGTCCATGTGGTCTCTTCCAATTCTATTATTCTACGATTCTATGAAAGGTCTCTTCCTGGGTCTTTGTCCAGTGGCTGCCTGGATTCCCCAAAGGGGAAGTTTCTGGTGGCCAATGGATGGGTGGCCTCCTACTGGGTGCCAGGAACAACAGATTATTGTCTGGATTATTGTGGTTTGACACTTTTAAGTGTCATGGCTCAGTGTTATGGAATCATGGGAGATAAGATGCAACTTTACGGAACCCACTTAACATAAAATGTGAATATAAGCTGTTATGGAAGGCTTCATACGTAAAACATATCCTCCACCATTTCACAGATGAAAACAGAGTTACATATGACCTCACAACCTCTGAGGATGCTTGCCATAGATGCAGGTGAAACGTCAGGAGAGAATGCTTCTAGAACGTGGCCTTAGAGCCCAAAAAACCTACAACAACCCAGAGTCACATATGGCCAAGCAATATCAGACTGAGGTCAAGGTGGCAAAATTGATTAATGAGATAGAACCCATGAACTAAGAGAGACTGCAGCAGTTTGCTTTTAATAGAACCTACAGAGAACAGAGATTCCTCCTCCTCTCCTCTTACTTTGTCGAACTAATTGAGTGCGAACTACCTTTGAACTCAGTTTGGAGCCTGTGAAGTATGTTAAGGGCTAAGGATTATTCAAGGCTGTCCCTTTCAGATGATCAGGATAGTGGGAATGCATGCTGAGATTGTTTACATCTATGAATATCATTACACAGATACGTTAAATAATCCATACTAGTTATGGAAGAAGCATTTAAGATTTTGGACAGCTGCAGAAGCAGGGCTGCAGTCTGTACCTTCTCTACAGAACTGAACAGAGGTGAGGAACCTTGGCTCCTGGCACTGATTTTGGGTCTTTGAGGCCCCTTCCACACAGTTGTATAAAATCCCACATTGAACTGGATTATTTGGCAGTGTGGACTCAGATAACCCAGTTCAAAGCAGATATTGTGGATTATCTGGCTTGATATTCTGGGTTATATTGCCATGTGGCAGGGCCTGAGACTCCCTGGATTATTTCATGCCCATCTCCATTTGATGTTTCCCCTCATTTTGAACAGTTTTCTTCCCAATCCTAAAATAATTAAATAGAATAGGCAAAACTTTGAGCATACTTTGAGCATGCATGTAGGCTGTTTTCTCCACTCCGTGCCTCATCCCTTATCTCTTTCTTTATTTCTTTCTATTGGTGCCAGCAGTGTCTGCTTTTCCTCAGAATCTCTCCTCCTGCGCCCTCCTTTCTTTCTTCTGCTTGTTACTCAGCAGCCCGATTTCTGTCTCCTCCTTCTGCATTTTGACTTGAACTTTCTAGTAAATTTTAACTTCAAGGCCCCTTTCTTTTTTTCTCTTTAGTCCT